CTTCCTCTGGCATAAGTAACTGCTCACGGATGACAGAGCTGATTGTTGGCATGTATGGTTGCAGCATAATTGAAAGCAAAGCAGCCATGTTTACAGCCAATCCGGTTACTGTTCCTGCACGCTTTCTGTAATGGAGAGAAGTACCAGTATCAAAGGAAATGCAGGCACAGATCCATGCATATTTTTGGGCATTTAACATGTAAAATTAACACACTTGTGTAGCACAGATCCTGAAAATATACATTGGTAAAAAAGTTTAATCTTGTTATTAAAGCTGGCCAGTTCAGCAGAGAGCAGCTGAGATTTGAATCTATTTACCCAATTTGATTGTTGTACAACACGCGTACAACCAGCCTGTCACGTTTTTCATACGATTATTGCCAGCGGATATAAGCAGCTACAATACCTGTGTTCTCCAAGCAGGAATGGCTCCCCCCCTCCCAAGAAGGGATTGCTCAATCAACACGAAATGTGTTGATGGGGGAGTCTAGCAATTTTCTTTCCTGCAACTAATCACATGACCTATGGCTGGCTTTCACACGGGCATTCAAATCAGGTCTGTCAGTTTTTCAGGCGGACTTGATCAGAAGGACCATGCATCCCTAAGGAAAGGTGGGTGTAATTGGACTTACCTAAAAATAAATAAATGTAAAGAACTCCATCCTTTTCTGTTTACGGGAAGTGGATTGGAGGTAGCCGGGTGTAAACAGACAAATACTTTTACTGCTCATAGAACAGAGTGTGCTCTGTGTCCGCTCTGCAGAAACTGAGCGGACACTGATTAGTCATCCGCCTGCTCTGCTCCGATCAGCAGGGGATCAGAACAGAATGTACCCCATGTGAAAGGGGCCCAACTCTGATAAAATAAATGAGTCCTCATTTCTGAAGATGACTGGTTACTCCTTGACATTAAAGGCAATCTCCTTGACATTAAAGGCTGGCAAAATGCCAGCTGACATATGGTAGATCCAAACTGCAGCATACTATGCATAAAACGTTTTCGGGGATCACACAGAATTTTCTAGGGATCTTGTTGATGCAAACATTTTTGTTTTTTCATCTACAGTGATTACAGAGAGTTAATAAAAATGCTCTGTTAACAAGAATAGGAAAAATAAAAACAAAAACACTTACTGTTCTTGTTGTGTCCCTTTGATACATTTCCATGGTTCATTGACTTGTATATACTGGTTTCCATGACGAGAAATGTTCAAAATACACCTCAGGGCATCGCGGATCCTGCAGAAATTAGTAAGAAATTTACTTTAACTATCATTCTTTTTACCCAATATAAAAATGTAGGATCTGCAGTCTCATCAGCAGAAATAAAGGGCACTTACCGAACTTTCTCCAGCAGCTGGTTGTACTGTTGTAGCTCTGCTGTGACCTGAGCCAAGAGCCTCTTGTCCTCTGAAATTAACTCAATCTCTGGAACTTGGCCATTGAAGAACTTCTGTACAAACATGCCTGCCCTGAAAGAAAATGACACACATTTCTAAATGTTAATATAACCACAACTGTCAGAGCTGAAGAGACACTTCTCTGATGTGTAATATGTATGCAGTTCATAACAGCTGACTGCTGCTCAAATTTGCACATCAGTAAAACAGAACTTTAGCAGTATTTCCTCAACATGTTTGCGAGACATAGGGGAGGGAAGGATGTACTGTACTTCTGGCTCCTCTGTATCACCAGTACTTCACAATACACAGTCCTAAAGTTCTTATATCAAGCGCTGATAAATCCATCTCTTTAAAATCAGATTTAGCTAGGGATTTCCTCTGATATATGTTAGAATATAAAGATCTTCAAACAAAACATTTTTTATTTATTTTAAATTTAACAGCTTCCTGTCCACCCTATAGCAGAAATACTGTTACAGGGCGGCAGGGGTGCGCAAAATCACACACACACACACACACACATATATACACACACACACACACAATATATATATATATTTTGATTTTGCGCGGCCTACCCACGCCGCCATTCGTGGCCTCGGGTGTCACCCAGTGATTGCTGAGTATAACCGACGGGGGAGAGACCTGTATGTAAACAATACAGTTTTCTCAACTGCCAGCTCCTGCACACTGCATAGCAGAGCCATACAAAGCAGTGTGCTTACAGCTGAAAGCACACACACAGCTTACTGTGAAACAGCACACAGTTAACCCTTTGATCGCCCCACGCTAACCCCTTCCTGCCCAGTGCCATTAGTACAGTGTCATTGCTTTTTATTAGCACTGCTCACTGTATTGGTGTCACTGGGGATGTCAGTGACACCAAGTTAGTTCCCCCCCAGTGTCAGAATGCAGACTACAGTCCTGCTATAAAAGTCACTGATCGCTGCCATTACTAGTAAAAAATACAAAACAAATTCCAGTACATATACCGCCGTTTGTAAACACTATAACTTTCACACAAACCAATTAATTTACACGTATTGGGATTTTTTAGTAGCAAAGACATGTAGCAGAATACATTTTTGCCCTGAATTTATGACGAAATTTGATTTTTGAAAATGTTTTTATTGGACATGTTTAATAGCAAAAAGTCAAAATTATTTTTTTTTTTCTTCTGAAAAATTGGCAGTTTTTGTTTATAGCACAAAAAAAATAAAAAAAAAACTGCACAGGCGATCAAATACCACCGAAACAAAGCTCTATTTGTGGGAAAACAAGGAAGTTAATTAAATTTGCGTGCAGCGTTGCATGACTGTGCAATTGTCAGTTAAAAGAAAGTAGCGCCTATTGCACAAAACGGCCTTGTCAGGAAAAGGGGGGGGGGGTAAATCCTCTGGAGGGCAAGTGGCTAAATAACACTTCATTTGTTCCTTATGATATGTGGTTGGATATGTTTTCCATTTATCAAGCGGGAGAAAAAAGGCCAACTATAACTATTCTGGAAAATAATCCATTCCCCCTACCCATCATGTCTACTCTGTATATAAAATGGATCGGTGTACTTACCCATTTTTAAAATTGGCTCCAGCCTGGTCACATAATCCTGCAGCACCGGCTCCCCTATGTCAACGAGGCAATGGCTAAATAATGGGAGCCTATGAGTGACGTCCAGCTCCCAGAATTCATGGCTGTTAAGAGCTCCAAGATACCACGGAGCTGGAACTGCAGGATCATGTGACTGGAAGAAAAACAGGTAAGTGCACTGATCTTTTTTATAAGATTAGGCAGGATATGTGAGGGTGATGATACATTTTTAAGAATAGCTAGAAGTTAGGCTTTTCTTCCACTTATAATAAATGGTGAAGATAAACCCCTAAAAGCTGCAAAAATTGCAGCATGACAACTGAAAGATGAAATGTGCATTATGAGATCGTTAGAAACATAACAGATGTTTGTGGTCTACACCTTATTATAATGTAATTTCTTTCACATCATAAAGAGAAGGATGCAGTCAGGGCAATTTGTACATGAAAACAAGTGGCAAGACTCCCAGCTTTATTCAGACAAGAGGTATGAGTAACTTATACAATTCACAAAAGGATGAAATGAAGATGGAATGACAGGCAAGTAGAAATCACATTCTTGGTGATCCTGACGCTAGGTCTCTTTACACCGCAACGGTCACATCAATGAAGTAACTCCAGCTGCAGTGAGAATGTGCAAGGCATGCAGCACTTTGAACTTAGCTAAGATACCAATGGGAGAATTTACTAAAACTGGAGCAGACTAAATCTGGAGCTGTTGTGCATAGTAACCAATCAGCTTCTGGCTTCAGCTTGTTCAGTTAAGCTTTGAAAATGAATGATAGAAGCCGATTGGTTGCCATGTACAACGGCTGCAGATTCTGTCTGTTCCAGACATTGTAAATTAAACTCTGCATGCGGTGGAGGAGAGAGAACTTTCATCAGAACAAATAAATTGGGTTTAGTTTATGCATTCTGACCAGAATTCGTCCTTTCCAATTCAGTAAGATGTACCACAGTTCACTGTCAGGTTAATTTCAGCTTGTTTTCACATACTGAAAATGCTCACTCTGATCTTTATACACATCAGGCATTATTAGCTTCCAACAGAAGCTCTTAGTAGCCAGTACGTCATGACCACCTTTTGTGGCATGCTGAAACTATTTTATATTGCCTTTTACATCATAACATGGTGTAGCATATGCCCAGCACCTTCAATGACTCAAACAGGAAACCATCATGACAAGCTGCATTTAACCACTTGCCTACTGGGTACTTTCACCCCCTCCCTGCCCAGGCCAATTTTCAACTTTCAGTGCTGTCGTACTTTGAATGGCAATTGCGCGGTCATGCAACACTGTACCCATATTAAATTTTTATCAGTTTTTTTTTCACACAAATAAAGCTTTCTTTAAGGGGTATTTGCCCTTGGGTGGTTTTTTTTTTGTTTTGTTTATAATCGCAAAAAATAAAAGCAAAAAATTTGAAAAAAAAAAAAAAAGTTTTTCTTTGTTTCTATTATAATATTTTGCAAACAGGTAATTTTTCTCCTTTACTGATGTGCGTTAACAAGGCTGCACTGATAGGCAGCACTGATGAGGCTGCACTGATAGGCAACAATGATAGGCACTAACTGGCGGCACAGATGGGGGGGGGGGGGGGGCACTGGTAGGTGGCACTACTAGGCACATGTGGGTGGCACTGATCATCAGTGCTTTGATGATTGGTGCCAATCAGCCCTCTGACAATTGCCGGTTATCGGCAGTACTTTCCTCACGCTGTGACAGCATGAGGAAAGTACAACCAATAACCGGCAACTGCATTTACCGGTGATCTGCTGTGTCACTGGACACGGCTGATCACGTGGTAAAAGGCCGCTGCGATTGGCCTTTTACCAGATCGCCGGGTGCGTGCCCCCGGGAGGACGCGTTCTGGGAGGACCTCATATGACACTCTCCCAGAACTGGACAACCGCGCTGTAGCCGTCATTCGGCTATAGCGCAGTTGACAAGTGGTTAAAGGAGGTTACCTATCCAACAACTAGGATTATATGCGAATGTTTCCTTGGAAATTATCTAGTTGTGTACCTGTTAACAAAATTGCCCAGGTTGTTCAATAACTCTGAGTTATTCTTTAGCATCAGATCACTCCAGCTGAACGCACTGTCTTGCCCCTCAGGCCTCACATACAACAGATAGAATCTCCAGATGTCAGCTGGGATACCAGTGTCCTGAGCCATGTCACCAAACACACCCACTCCTCGACTCTTGGAAAATTTACCATCTTCATAGTTTAAATATTCTGTAAAGAAAAATCCAAGTTTAGGAAAAAGGATGTACTTTCTATAAAACTTATATATGAAAAAAATACATCCCTTGGTGTGCAATTAACGAAAACTCTGACCAACAAACATTTTATTTTTTTAAAAGAACAAAAGCTTTAAAGTTTCAGATTACGAACCTAAACCCGCAAATGAAATTCTCATATAAAACAATGCTATCAATAAAAGAATTTGTTTAATTGCAAAAACACCCATTTCAGACCTCTGAGTAGTAGTAAAGCAAGAAAATGACAGCTCCCATTAAGAGATTCTGAGATAATTTTAAATTTGTAACCAAACACCTTTGAACAATTTCCACTGTACAATGAAAAGACAGTGGTACAGCATGCTACCATTTAATTAAAAGGGTAATGAATCAGAAACCAACCTATATTATACAGTGCTGTGAAAAGCATTTGCCCCCTACCTGATTTTTTGCACATTTGTTACACTTAAATGATTTAGACCACCAAACAAAATTGTAATATTACACAAAGATAACCCACGTAACTAAAAAAAAAAAATGCAGTTTTTAAATATTGTTTGAGGAAAAAAGCGGTTCAAACCTGCCTGGCCATATGTGAAAAAGTAATTGCGACCCCCCCCTTGCTAAATCATGAATGAATTGTAATTAACCACATATTTTGGAAAGCCGAGTTACATTTCACTTGCCACACCCAGGCCTGATTACTGCCAGACCTGCTGAATCAAGAAATCACTTAAATAGACGCTGTCTGAAAGTAAAGCATGTGAAAAGATCTCAAAAAGTAACACATCATGCTGCAAGCTAAAAAAAAATTAAGAACAGATGAGAAACAAAAAGTATTTGACATGTACCAGTCTGGAAAGGGTTACAAAGCCATTATTAAGGCTTTGGGACTCCAGCAAACCACAGTGAGAGCCATTATCAACAAACGGAGAAAACTTTGAACAGTGGTGAACCTTCCCAGGAGAGATCGGCCTACCAAAATTACTCCAAGAGCTCAATGACGACTCATCCAGGAGGCCATAAAAGAACCCAGATCATTATCAAAAGAACTGCAGGCCTCACATGTCTCAGTTAAGGTCAGTGATCATGATTCAACAATAAGAAAAAAAAAAAAGTCTGGGCAAAAATGGCATCCATGGGAGAGTTCCAATGTGAAAGCCACTGATGACCAAAAAGAACACAAAGGCTTCGCATGCTAAAAAACATCTTGATTACCTCCTAAGACTTTTGGGCAAACATTCTGTGGTCTGATGAGACACAAATGTAACTTTTTGGAAGGCATGCATCCCGTCACAGCTGGCGCAAAACTAACACAGCATTTCATAAAAAGAACATTGTGCCAACAGTCGAACATGGTGGCGGTAGCATGATGGTCTGGGGCGGCTTTGCATAGTAGCCAGAATGGACAACTTGCCATAATTGATGAAACCATGAATTCTGCGTTCTACCAAAAAATCCGGAAGGAGAATGTCTGGCCATCAGTTCAAGACCTCAAGCATACTTGTATTATGCAGCAGGACAATGATCCAAAAAACACACCAGCTCTGAATGGATCAAAAAAAAAGAAAAAAAAAACAAACACAAAACCAAAATTAAGGTTTTGGAGTGACCTAGTCAAAGTCCGGACTTAAATTAGATTGAGATGCTGTGGCATGATCTGAAACAGGCCGTTCATGCTCGAAATACCCTCCTATGTGGCTGAAATAAAACAATTCTGCAAAGAAGAGTGGGCCAAAATTCCTCCACAGAGATGTGAAATATTCATTACCAGTTATTGCAAAAGCTTGATTGCAGTTGTTGCCACCAAGGGTGGCACAACCAGTTATTAGGTTTAGGGGGCAATTAACTTTTCACATAGGGCCAGGCAGGTTTGGACAGCTTTTTTCCATAATAAAGGATTTCATAATTTAAAAACTGCATTTTGTATTTTCTGAGATTAATCTTTGTGTAATATAAAAATTTGTTTTATGATCCGAATAATTTAAAAGTGAAAAATCTACAAAAAAGAAAAAAAAAAAAAAAAAAACACAGGCAGGGGAAAAAATACTTTCACAGCACTGTATTGTCATTATGAATATATTAAATTAAGGGTTTATTTTTTTACATTTACGGTTTATCCACAACAGCAGTATGGAGCTGCATTGCCCAAACAGTCCCAACACAATTTCCTTATGTTCTATAGCTTTGGTTAACACCAATTTGACAAAAAGTAAGACCGGCTGTATTTTTGTGAAGCATGTTCAAGCACACTGACACTGCAACATTCTACAGCATATAGGAAAGAAAACACTGCAATGAATTTTTAAAAATGCTCTGCAGCATGCTAAACCACTCATGAAAAACACATGTGCTGTAGTGTGAATGAGCCCTACATTAAATTGATTCTAAAGGAATTGTTTTTTTTTTTAAACAAACATATCATACCTACCTGCTCTGTGCAATAGTTTGGCACAGAGCAGCCCCCGATAGCGTTCTTAGCTCCTCCACCAAAGGCAGGGGAGCCAAGAACTTCCTTAACTTCTCGCCACAAGCTGATACCAGTGACATCTACTGGCGGCAGCATCTCACAGTCCATGTTTGACTGTTTTGTCCTTAGCCCAATACTAAATATGAAGCAATAGTATGAGGCCTGTATAAACATGTGATGGCACACACTTTTAAAAACAGCACTCTGCTTCGTGATTAGGAGCAAGTCATCAGGGCAATTAGTTTACCTGTGGCTATAAGATGGTTGACCACTGTGTAGTTGTCTTCGACTCCCAGGAGACATGATGGAAAAATAACACTGTGAAAAGGGACATTGTCCTTTGCCATGAAGTTGTAGAGTTGGACCTGAACACATCAGAAGTAGATTTAATTAAACGCTTAAAAGTCAGTTTTAAGAGGACTCAAACATAAAATGTTTACAATGTGAAAAACACTGCACAGATGTAGCTTAACCACAACGACTTGTTGAAACAAAATCTGTGTTATATGCATCATACAACAAACAATGCACATTGAGCTTACACTGTTCAGCACACCTTTGGCCTGTTATCAGTTGTACAAACTGATAATAGCATTTAGTACAGTCCCAGATTGCTTACTATATACCTGGATACTCACCACTTTATTTCAGAGGATGTGCAAAAGTGTAAGCTTTTTCCTCCTATATGACAAATCTGTTCTATAGATTAACTCAGTCATGCTACACAAAAAGATAGCAACTAAATTGACTGACAAAATAGATAAATACTTGTCCATCTGGCATCTTTTGACCTCCCTATTTCTTCCCATAGAACTTTACCATGATCTTTTGCCCCTTTGAACAGGAGTGTGTCCATTGGACACACCTATTCCTTTCCCAACCCCCTCCCCTCCCCATTGCCCATACCCCCCTTGTTTTTTCCCTGATATATGGTTACACAATTCTAACTACTTCCTAGTCCCCCCCACCCAGACTCAATGCTCTGAGTAACTTAGGACTCCCCTAGGCCAGTGATGGCGAACCTTTTTGAGCCCGAGTGCCCAAACTGCAACCCAAAACCAACTTATTTCTTTCAAAGTGCCAACACTGCAATGAAACCTGAATATCGAGCTTTTGGTTTAGAAAAAACAACTCGTTCGTACAGTAGTGCAAACTAATTAACAGTACAGGAATGACCAGAGACTGCGGACACAGTACAGGGATGACCAAAGACTGCGGACACAGTACAGGGATGACCAGAGACTGCGGACAGTACAGGGATGACCAGAGACTGCGGACACACTACAGGGATGCCCAGAGACTGCGGACAGTACAGGAGATGACCAGAGACTGCGGACAGTACAGGAGATGACCAGAGACTGCGGACACAGTACAGGAGATGACCAGAGACTGCGGACAGTACAGGAGATGACCAGAGACTGCGGACACAGTACAGGAGATGACCAGAGACTGCGGACACAGTACAGGGATGACCAGAGACTGCAGACACAGTACAGGGATGACCAGAGACTGCGGACAGTACAGGGATGACCAGAGACTGCGGACAGTACAGGAGATGACCAGAGACTGCGGACACACTACAGGGATGCCCAGAGACTGCGGACAGTACAAGATGACCAGAGACTGCGGACAGTACAGGAGATGACCAGAGACTGCGGACAGTACAGGAGATGACCAGAGACTGCGGACAGTACAGGAGATGACCAGAGACTGCGGACAGTACAGGAGATGACCAGAGACTGCGGACACAGTACAGGGATGACCAGAGACTGCAGACACAGTACAGGGATGACCAGAGACTGCGGACAGTACAGGGATGACCAGAGACTGCGGACAGTACAGGAGATGACCAGAGACTGCGGACAGTACAGGAGATGACCAGAGACTGCGGACACAGTACAGAGATGACCAGAGACTGCGGACACAGTACAGGAGATGACCAGAGACTGCGGACACAGTACAGGAGATGACCAGAGACTGCGGACACAGTACAGGAGATGACCAGAGACTGCGGACACAGTACAGGGATGACCAGAGACTGCGGACACAGTACAGGAGATGACCAGAGACTGCGGACAGTACAGGAGATGACCAGAGACTGCGGACAGTACAGGAGATGACCAGAGACTGCGGACAGTACAGGGATGACCAGAGACTGCGGACACAGTACAGGGATGACCAGAGACTGCGGACAGTACAGGGATGACCAGAGACTGCGGACACAGTACAGGAGATGACCAGAGACTGCGGACACAGTACAGGAGATGACCAGAGACTGCCGACACAGTACAGGGATGACCAGTGACTGCGGACAGTACAGGGATGACCAGAGACTGCGGAAAGTACAGGAGATGACCAGAGACTGCGGACAGTACAGGAGATGACCAGAGACTGCCGACACAGTACAGGGATGACCAGTGACTGCGGACAGTACAGGGATGACCAGAGACTGCGGACACAGTACAGGGATGACCAGTGACTGCGGACAGTACAGGGATGACCAGAGACTGCGGACAGTACAGGAGATGACCAGAGACTGCGGACAGTACAGGAGATGACCAGAGACTGCGGACACAGTACAGGAGATGACCAGAGACTGCGGACACAGTACAGGAGATGACCAGAGACTGCGGACAGTACAGGGATGACCAGAGACTGCGGACACAGTACAGGGATGACCAGAGACTGCGGACAGTACAGGTATGACCAGAGACTGCGGACACAGTACAGGGATGACCAGTGACTGCGGACAGTACAGGGATGACCAGAGACTGCGGACACAGTACAGGGATGACCAGAGACTGCGGACACAGTACAGGGATGACCAGAGACTGCGGACAGTACAGGGATGACCAGAGACTGCGGACACAGTACAGGGATGACCAGAGACTGCGGACACAGTACAGGAGATGACCAGAGACTGCGGACAGCACAGGGATGACCAGAGACTGCGGACACAGTACAGGGATGACCAGAGACTGCGGACAGTACAGGAGATGACCAGAGACTGCGGACAGTACAGGAGATGACCAGAGACTGCGGACAGTACAGGGGATGACCAGAGACTGCGGACAGCACAGGGGATGACCAGAGACTGCGGACAGCACAGGGATGACCAGAGACTGCGGACAGCACAGGGATGACCAGAGACTGCGGACAGCACAGGGATGACCAGAGACTGCGGACAGCACAGGGATGACCAGAGACTGCGGACAGCACAGGGATGACCAGAGACTGCGGACAGCACAGGGATGACCAGAGACTGCGGACAGCACAGGGATGACCAGAGACTGCGGACAGCACAGGGATGACTGCTGACCTTTGGGGAGGGAGGGGGAGCGGGTACCTGAATTTGACAGGTACCCGCTCTTACTTCCGCAGAGTTTTTTTTTTTTATCTTACCTGTTCCTTTATCCAGCCGCGCGTTGTCTTCCCGGCTTCTGTAGTGTGGGCGCTCGTCGGACAGCCGGATGCCCAGTGCGCATGCGCGAGAAGCGCTGCGCTTTCTGATTGGTCCGGCGGCTTCTGGGATCTGTCATGTGTCCCAGGTACCGCCTTACCATTCACAAAGAGCACTGCTTCTTGTGCATGCGCACTGGGGACCCGGCTGTCACGCACACTACAGCCGGGAAGACAGCGCGCCGCTGGATTCTCCTGGCGTGCCCACAGATAAGGCTCGGCGTGCCGGCTGTGGCACGCGTGCCACGGGTTCGCCATCACTGCCCTAGGCTATCCCCAGATGTTCTTTTAGAAATACGATTTTCAACCCTTTTCCTTTATTGAATACTATCAAGAGAATTCCCCCTTACATGTCATTGTATGGTCAAGTGAAAATGCATTCACAATGGTCTTAAGAACAGTTTAGAGGTAGCAGTCAGGCATTCTACTAATTTTAAAGAACAGGTGCAACACTTTTCCAGGAGTTTAGTTATACCACAGTAGTGCACCAAAATAATTATTTTCTTTTTGCCAAGTTTACAAATTGCAAATGTCTCTTGTAAAAAGGCAGGCAGGGAGACAATTGCTTGTCCTTGAACAACATGGGGGGGTCTTAGACTATACCATCATTCCAATAAGCTAGGATAATTTCGTGACAAGTATTTCAGACATAAAACTCATTATTACACAGTAAAGCCCCCCAAATGTCTTGATCCTTGCCAGAGCACAAAACTGAAATAGGGGGGCTGTGCTGGGCTTTGAGTGGCCTCATATATTTTCAAAACGAACATACCTAAAATTACTAATCTAATACTGCAAAGTACCTTAAATTGTAGGAAGGCATATGGTAGTTGCAGTGTTCAACACAAACACACACACTGACAATTGCGCAGTCATGCAACGCTGTACATAAATGAAATTTACGCCCTCTCTATACCAGCGTTCACATTAGTATAGTGTACCTAAAAATGCAGCATTAGCGGGATCAGCCCCAGCACCTGCATTTAGCCCCTATGCTTAAACCCCCCCCTTCTCCCCCAGCAAGTGCAGTGTCAGATCACAGTCACTTGATATATTGCACACAAAACAGCAGTGTTTGCAGAATCAGGCCTGATCTCTGTTAGCACTTGCCGGTAATTTTTTTTGTAGCGGTTCAAGCAGTCCCTGACAGCCAAGTGCTCTTTTTTTTTTCCCGTGAGTCGCACTAGGTACCTATAAATTTAGTGGCCAAAATGTCAATGGAAAGGTACTCTAGGGAAGAGCCCTACAGGATTTTGAGAATGTAAGGTGAGAGCGAAGGGGAAAACTCCCTGACCCAATCAGCCTCAGAATACGAACCTGTAGACAGCAGCGGCACCCTGACAGATAGCATCTGAGACCAGGCATACCCAACCCCGTTCCCAGGTTACTGAGATGTTACAATCGCATGATGACTCATATGCAGCAGAGTGCCAGTACTAGTGCCACTCTAACTTTTGGTGAACTGGCAAGTACCAGAGGCCTACTACATCTTGGTCTTTCATATACCAGCACTGCAGTATCACTTGGTGACGTGGTGAGTCCCATAATTGCAGTACAAGCTGTTGCGGTGGCAAGCACAAGTAGTGTCCCGCAGCCACCAAGAATTTGCACACAGGTCCGTAGAGCCCATAGTATCCTTCCGGATGTGCTTGCAAATCCCGATTGGCAGCCCACAAATTCTGGGGCACCCGTACTTCCCCCATTCACTGCCCAACCCAGAATTCAGGTGGCAACAGCAAATTTAACTACTCCTTGATTTTTTGGAGCCATTTTTCACAGAAGATGTGTATGCATAAATTGTGGATCAAAGCAGTTTATCGCCACCAAACCCAAATTCAAACCTTGGCAGACCATTCACATGGAAACCCATTACAGTTTCTGAATTTAAAGTTTTTTTGGGCCTAACCTTCAACATGGGCATTACTAAAAAAAAATATGAATTGCAGTTGTATTGGTCCACAGACCCGATTCATCATATGCCAGTGTTCTTTGCTGCCATGGCCAGGCATAGATATGAGAGTATAATGCATTTTATGCATTTCAACGACAATACACTGTCGTCCTCAGGGTGACCCTGATCTGACCGGCTCCACAAAATTTGGCCCTTCATAAATCACCTTAATCAAAAATTTGCAGATGTCTATACTGCCCAAAAGATCTGCGTTGATGAATCCCTCATTCATTTTTCTGGCCGCCTTGCATTCAAATAATTTAAAATAATTTCTCCCAGCAAGCATGCCAGATATGGGGTCAAGATGTACAAGACCTGTAAGAGGGCAATAGTCTATACATATAAGTTTCGTATTTATGAGGGAAAAGATAGTCACGTGGAGCCCCCCCCGGATGCCCAGACTACATGGGGAGCAGTGGCAAGATAGTTTGGGACTTGGTGTCATCCTTTTTCCATATGGGGTGGGGTACCACTTATACGTGGACAATTTTTATTCAAGCGTGCCACTATTTAGACATTTGTACAATCTTGGAATTGGCGTATGTAGTACCATGGGGCTTCTCCCAATGGCTTGTTAATACCAGTCTTAGAAAGGGGGAAAAAAGCCTGCTTGAGAAATGAGGAATTGCTCGCAGTGAAGTGGAAAGACAAAAACGGGATGTTTTCGTTTTGTCTTCCATTCATACAGACACGACCATCCAAATTGCATAGGGTAGCTGGTGTTATTGAGAAGCCCCTTTGTGTCCACGACTATAAGCTTAATATGGGAGGGGTGGACTTAAACGACCAGATGATGAAGCCGTACTTAGTTTCCCGAAATGCCAGACACTGGTACAAAAAAAAAAGTGTCTATTTATTTCAATTGGCTCTATATAATGTTTTTGTGCTTTACAAAGTAACTGGATGAAGTGGATCCTTCCTAAAATACCAGGAAGATCATCAGGGCCCTTTTGTATCGAGAAGGTGCTGTGGCCCAAACCCCCAACCCAGATGCAGTTAGCCGGCTGCACGAGAGGCATTTTCCCGATGCCATTCCAGGTACCCCAGCCCTGAAATGCCAGGATAGCACCAAACCTCCCCAAATGACCCCTTTTTGGAAAGTAGACACCCAAAGGAACCTTGTGAGAAAAAAATGGAGATCTGAAAAATACTTACCATGCCTCTTTATAAATTCCTTGGGGTGTTTACTTTCTAAAAAGGGGTCATTTGGTGCTATCCTGGAATTTCAGGGCCTCCGCAACTGTGATAGGTAGTGAGGAAGTGAAATGAGGAAGTTACGCACCTTCAGGCTTTCAAAGTGGCCATTGGATTTCAGGCTCCAGTATGTTGCTAGGCTCCCAAAAAGTATCATGTAGTATCCCCATACTCAGTAGAAGGTATTTTGGGGTGTAATTCCAATATATCTATCTTTATCTAGATAATTTCCCAAAAACTTGTAGAAAAAAAAAAAAAAAAAAAATCTTCCATGAACTCAACATGCCTCTCAGCAGATAGCTGGGTGTCTACTTTCCGAAAAGGGGTCATTTGGGGGTGTTTGTACTATTCTGGTATTTTAGCACCTCAAGAAATGTGATGGGCAGTCAAAGTAAAAGCTATGCAAATTCCATTATCTATACCATAGTTTGTGGATGCTATAACTTTCACACAAAGCAAACAATATGCACTTATTGAGATTTTTTTTTTTTTTTTTTTTACCAAAAACATGTAGCAGGAATACATTTTGGCCTAAATTTATGACGAAATGAGTTTTTGGGATATTTTTTATGACAGAAAATGAGAAAAAATATTGCTTTTTTTTCAAAAAATTTTTTTTTTTGTTTATAGTGCAAAAAATAAAATGCGCACATCAAATACCATTGAAAGAAAGCTCTATATGTGTGTGAACAAAAAAAAGGGACATAAATGTTATTTCTGTACAGTATTGCATGACCGTGCAATTGTCAGTTAAACTAGTGCAGCGCTGTATAGCAAACAATGGCGTAAATTTCAGTATCTATACCATAGTTTGTAGACACTATAACGGAGTTTACTATAATTTCTTTACCATCAAAAGAAAGCTCTATTTGTGTGAATAAAAAGGACATAAATTTTGTTTGGGTACAGCATTGCATGACCACACAATTACCAGTTGAAATAGTGCAGCGACGAGTAGCAAAGAAAAAAAAGGCCTGGTCAGGAAGTGGGGTAAATCCTCAGGAAGGCAAGTGGTTAAACACATCCAATAAAAATGTTTTTAAAAAAATAAATCAAATTTTGTCAAACATTTAGGCCAAAATGTATTCTGCTACATGTCTTTGTTAATAAAAAAAAAAATCCCAATATGTGTAAATTAATTGGTTTATGTGAAAAGTTATAGCGTCTACAAATGGCGGTATATATACTGGAATTAAAGAAAAAAAATATGTTTTATACGAGTGGCAGCGATCAGCGACTTATAGCGGGACTGTGGCAGACATTCTGACACTGGGTGGGAACTTTGTCACTAACATACTGATCAGTGCTAATAAAAAAGACTGACTGTACTAATGACACTTGGCAGGAAGGGGTTAACTTTTGGGCGATCAAAGGGTTAACTGTGTGCGTTTTACTGTGTGCCGTTGTTTTTACTAGGGAGGCATGCTGTTTTGTATTTCTCTGCTGTGCAGAGAAATACAAAACAGCATGTCCATGCTGACAGGGGAGAGACCTGTGTTGTTTACACACAGAATGGGGAAAGAACAAAAAGAGGGCGCACAGGCCTAGTGCATTACCATAAAAAATGTTTAATAAAAAATAAAGTAGGTGTTGTACTCACAAACGACAATATAGTCAAGGCACATCATAAAAGAACAGCTGCATCAACACCGCGCTGAGTAACAGTCCGCAATAGGGAGTTTAGACATCCAAAAGGCTGACGCGTTTCGAGGACTTGCCTCTTCCTCAGAGCCACGTTTTTATTAAACATTTTTTATGGTAATGCACTAGGCTTGTGCGCCCTCTTTTTGTTCTTTCCCCATTCAGTATATTTGGATTCCCCCGGTCCATTTGAGGGCAGCAAGGTGTGCATGTTCCAGGACATTCTTAATGTGGTTGTAGCCTGCATCGAGTCCATCCCCAAGCGCAGGAGCATTTGTGTTTGCTGATTCTTTGTTTACACACAGGTCTGTCCCCCTCTCCCCTGTCAGCTTTATGTGGCGATCACCGGTAGGGAATCTCCGGCCAGGATTCAGTGATCGACAAGCCTAACTACCAATGATGGTGTGTATGCTCCCTACCCGAAAATACAAATCACGTACACACACAATTTTGCGCAGCCCCACCGCCCTGCAGCAGTATAGGGTGGCAGGGATGGTTAATAAAGAGTATGGGAGCAAAGTGCTTTGTACAAAAAGCAGTAATCCAGAGCAACCTAGCAGAATTCTGTTTACTGCATTACATCTGTACCATTGGGATGGTAATATGCTTTTATGGATAGTGCACACCGACCTTCACATAATGTTACTGAATATTAGGATTTCAGTGTTACCCATAAAATCCATTTCTTGGAGTAGATCACAGGACATCTTCATATTCATGACTACTTGGGTTATGCTGCTACTTTAGGTGAATACACACTGGCCAAGGCATAAACCCCAGTTTTGTAGCAAGCAATGAGGAACAAAAAAAAAAAAAACCCCACGAAAAGAGCAGGAAGGCAGTCCCTCTGTCCTGTGAAGTACTCCAAGAAAAGGATTCTACAGGTAAACTGAAACTCCTAATTTCGTAATCTTATAGCACAGGACACAGGTTGCCTTCATATTCATGACCACTTGGATTGTCCCAAAGCACTGAATATGAAATGAGGGCAAACAGCATGTGCCCAAAACTTAAAAACTGAATAGGGGACACTTATATAAAAAACTAGGGCTTTGTGAGCTGGGACAGAGTACCTGCATATAAAGTTGTGTTCAAAATAATAGCAGTCCAACATCATTAACCAGATCAATCACTGTTTTAGGTATAAATTATATTGCTGTATGGTAAATAAATTACTAGTAGGTATAGTAGAGTAATAGAAAACCAATTCAGGGAGACATGGGCTTGTTGGAGTCATTTCAAAACCACCACTACATATCACCTATTATTGCATGAACAGCCTACACCCGACTAAATAATTGGACACAATGTTATCTCAAAAGACACCCTATCTACCAGTGACGCATTTAATGCATATTTAGATGGATGGAGACTCAACACCATAACCTAGCTTTCAGGTTCTTGACCCGCACATTGCCCCATTAAATGATCTTGCACATATTAAATCCTAAGCTACATAGCCATCTCTGGCTTGTATAAAAAGATGTGATTTATTTTATCGGTAGCTACCCATTCTAACATCCCCTCTACTCCTTACCCATTCCTTACCCATTCTCCCCCTCCCTCACATTGATCTGCCTTAACCTAATAATATTATTTTCGGAAAAAAAAAAAAGAAAACCAACAGACCCAACAGTCATGACATGCATGATGCCGAGATTCTGTGTAATTGAATCATTCATGGAAAGTAGCGTGTTCAAAATAATAGCAGTGTGGAGTTCAATTAGTGAAATCATTCAGTCTGAAAAAACAGGTGTCAAACAGATGGCCCTTATTTAAGGACGAATTCAGCAAATGTTGTACATGCTAGGGATAGTGCACTTCTCTCTGAAAATCTGAGTAAAACGGGTAATTCCAAACATTGTTCAGAAGAACAGCGTACCTTGATTAAAATGTTGATCGGAGAAGGAAAATCATATAAGGAGGTGCAGAAACTGATAGGCTGCTCAGCTAAAATAATCTCAAATGCTTTAAAATAGCAACCAAAACCAGAAACATGTGGAAGAAAAATACGGAAAACTATCATTCGAATGGATCGAAGAATAGCCAGCATGGCAAAGACTCAGTTCCCGGGCCTTCAAAGAAGCTCTAAAGTTACCTGTGAGCACTGTAACAATTAGAAGACACCTATGTGAAGCCAAGCTATTGTTATGAAGCCCCAGCAAAGTCCCATTGTTGAAAAAAAAACAACATATGCTGAAGAGGATACAAATTTGCCAAAGAACACACTGACTGGCCTAAAGAGAAATGGCGCAACATTTTGTGGACTGATGAAAGCAAGCTTGGTTTTTTTTGGGTCTAGTGGCCGGAGACAGTTTTGTCAGAAGACCCCCAAACACTGAATTCAAGCCACAGTACACTGTGAAGACAGTGAAGCATGGTTGCGCAAGCATCATGATATGGGGATGTTTCTCATACTACGGTGTTGGGCCTATTTATCGCATACCAGGGATCATGGATCAGTTTGAATACATCAAAATATTTGAAGAGGTCATGCTGCCTTATGCTGAAGAGGAAATGTCCTTGAAATGGGTGTTCCAACAAGACAACGACCCCAAACACACCAGTAAGCGAGCAGCATCTTTCCCAATCCCCGGACCTTAATCCAATAGAAAACTTGTGGAGTGACATAAAAAATAAAAAAAAAATTCTGTTTCTGAGGTAAAACCAAGAAAATGCACAGGAATTGTGGAATGTAAAGCAATCGTTTTAGGCTGGAACACCTGTTCACAGGTACCAGATGTGAAGTAGTTCTCAGAGACAGTGGTTATATAACTAAATCTTAGTTCAGTGATTCACAGGAAAGCTAAATCTTCAAGCATTTGTCAGTTTGCACAGTGAATGTTTGCGTTTAGCCCAATATTCCTTTTTCTTCACTTTCTGTAAAGTAAAAACACATGAAACATTTTTCTTTACATTTTAATGTGGAATAATGAGTATGAATATGAAGATGCCCAGCGTCCTCTGATGTACGATTAGAAAAAGTCCCTTTTTATATTAACTTCAAAAAGGTGGCAACTGAATACATCTACAAGCAAGGCAGAAAAATTCTAGTGCATACAGCCTCTGAAAGTCTAGTTTAATTAGCAAAGAAGTAAAAAAAATTATATTATGTACACATACAGTATACATATATACACACAAACACACACACTAATTTTTACATGAATGCTTGGCAGAGCACAACAATACATTACATTTAGAATCTAAAATGTGGCTACCTGCTGAGGATTTTTCCACCACTTCTCCCACTGATCTGTATAATTGGCTGTAATGGAAATATATCCTATTGGTGCATCGAACCAGACATAGAAAACCTGTTAAAAAAAAAAAAATAGTTTAATAGCTCCAGAAGACAGGAAGCACTCCAATTCAGTACGCAGTTCGTAAGGTATATTGTATTCACCTTGTCCCTAAAGCCATCCAGTGGCACAGGTGTCCCCCACTTCAGATCCCTAGTAATACAGCGTGGCTTCAAACCATCACGGAGCCAGGATCGCGTTATGTAACGGGCATTGGTAGTCCAATCTCCAGTTGCAAGAGACTGATCTAACCACTTTTCCAGCCGCTCTTCTAACTGTAAAGGGAAACAAAAAGGAGATACACACAGAAACCCCATTTATGAATTATATAAAACACAATTAAAGTTAACCTGTAGCATGAAACCTATGCACATAAATATTTTGACTTGCCTGTAAAACCCCTTTCTTGCTTTCATTAACTGTTTGTCCGCCGCCCTTTAGCAGATATACTGCTACAGGGGTGCGCAAAATCACGTATATATATATTATACGTGATTTTGCATTCGTGGCCGCGGCTGTCAATCACCGGGTCCCGGGTGGTGATTAACCGGCGGCACCTGGTGATTAACAAGCATCTCTGATGGGGAGGAGGACTGTTTTGTATACTAACAGTTCTCCTCCCTGTCAGCTCGGGCACACTGCTTTGGATGGCTGTGCACAGTATTGTGTTTCCTGTAGGGGAGGAGCCAGTATCTCATGTAGCCATCCTAGAAGACACTTTGGGAAAGTGAAAGTGTTCACAGACTGGGTCCATAGCTTTTTTAATGGTCACATGGTAAACACAAGTCAACATTTCAGAGCCACGCAGGGCCCCTTCATCAGGCGGCAAACATCACTTGACTGACCAAGGGGCCCTGTGTGGCCCCAAAATATTGCTTTGTGTCTACCATGTGACCACAAAATAAAGCTTTGGGCCCATTTTGAAGAACCCTTGGTGTGCTGGTGACATTTCTACACTTGGATTGTCTAGGGATCTCAGCCTGCAGTCACTAAAGCACCCAAGCAATAACGCATTGCCATCTGCAGGACCGTGTGCATTGGGAATATTGTGTTTAATCGAAGGCTAGATCACACCAGACCTTATGCCTCTGCTGTGAACTTGAAGACTCTGTTCTCTGGTTGACTGACACAGTATTCAAGGTTAGGAAAGTACCACAATGCAGAGCTCAGTGCCCGAAGATAAGTTACTAGGTTTACCCTATAGTTTTATTTACAAAGCGAGTCATTAGACTGGGTCACAGGCCCGGAGAGTGCTCTGCAGGTAGCACAGTACACAAAGGTCTGGAAAGCACCACTCGCAATGCCCAAGTGCCCTAGGTGCAATTCCAGGCTAGACCTACGATCTATGGTCCAGCAGAGTCCTGGTATGGCCTCAAGGAATAATCGAGCCAAGTAGAGAACAGAACTGCTCAAAAAGCTTGTTTAACTTCTTGTTTTTGGAAAAAACGATTTCTGTGCTCTACTAGCTTGATTGTAGAGAACAAATAGTAGGGAAAAAAGCCCAAATAAACAAAACAAAAAAAAAATTGGGTTTTCCCACAGCACAGCTGGAGAGGAGGGGAAGAAAAAAAAAAAAAAAAAAAAAGCATCCAGCCGCTTTGGACACTAGCAAAAAAACATGACAGCTGTAGGTAGGGCTAAGGGCATGTTAAATGTTTTTTTGTTTTCTCAGTGTCCAAAAAGTCCTGCAGACAGCAGCATAACCACTTGTCATGGACTACTCTACAATCCTGTGCCCCACAATGGATGATAAAGAAAATGCATGCAAATTAACCGCTAGCCTACAGGGCACTTATACCCCCTTCCTGCCCAGGCCAATTTCCAGCTTTCGCACTTTGATGGGCAATGAAAGGCAGCACTGATACATGGCACTGTTAGGTGGCACTGACTGGCACCGATGGGTGACACTGAAAGGCAGCTCAGATGGGCACTGATATGTGGCATTGATGGGCACTGGTAGGCACCGATATGTGGCATTGATGTGGCACTGGCACGAGGCACTGACACAAGGCACTGATGGACACTGACAGGTGGCACTGCTGGGGCTACACTGATCATCAGGGCACACTGATCATCAGTGCCCTGATGATCAATGTACATGTCCCCTCCGCGGAAAGCAGATTACCGGCTCTCCTCTCGAGCTGTCAGCGTGACAGCTCGAGAGGAGAGAAATGCCGAAAACCGGCATTTCCCTGTTTACATGTGATCAGCTGTGATTGGACACAGCTGATCACATGACCGAGCCGACATCTTTGGCTCTTTCCGTGATCGGTGATCCGCTGTGTCCGAGGGACACAGCGCACCATCGATCGCCGCGCTGCGCGCTCCCTGAGCTGCGCATGCGTAGTGAGAATGGGAGATGTCATAGGATGTCCTCCCAGAACGAGAGAGAACCACCTTGCTTCTGTCATATTACTATATGGCGGGCGGGAGGTGGTTAAAGAAGAAGAAAAAAAAGTCACCAGGCTCCCTAAAGCTGATCTTTTGCCCATTACCAACATCTTGATGCCTTGTTCTGAACTGTATCTCTGTGTAAAGATGACCATCTTGGTACAGACACGACTCTGCTACCTCAGGTCAGAGCTAAACTTTTTCGAAAATAAAGATCCTTAATTTTGGTATGCTTGGGAATGGAGCCTCATTCCAGTAAAGCATTTTAATATAAGAGCCCAAAAATACCACATGCTGTAAGAGAATACACAGCAACAGAGCAGTATCTGGTCACCCCTGCTCTAATGACACAGTACATGTCCTAGGAGAAGTACATGGCATACGATTGAAGCTTGTTAAGAAGTATATCTAAAAGGTCAATTTTTCCCCCTATTTTTATTACAGTAGGGAATGGTTTGTAGCTCCTTCACTTCTTGCCCTATAAAACACAACAGAAAGTGAAAGGAACCTCTCCAAAATGAGGAGGAAAATCCCTCCTTAGACAGCTGTCACTGAGCAAGTGTCTTAGTTAGAAGTCTCTCCTCCCTCACATTCCTCTTCTAATGAGAAACTCAGCATTTTGGATTTCTCTTCACTTTTAGTCCTAGTGACAATAGTCACCAGGATAACTAAATAAGTGAATCTCCCTGGAAAGTATACAGTCAAAAAATGTACAGACAACCTTGACTTTCTATACGGTGTCTGAAAATTTAAGAAAAAAAAAAAAAGCTTTTCTTTAGATAAACATTACAATATTTGTAGGATGAGCTCAAGCTGCTATATAAAAAAACAGGCCTCAGAAAAAGGACAATGCTCTCAGAGGTGACATACCTTAGGCAGGTCTAAGAAAAGATGCCGAGAAGATTTAACTATAGGAGACTGCTTACACACACTTTGCACTGAGGTCTCTGTAAAAGAAACCAGACAAAAACAAAAAAAAAAAAACAATTGTTAATCAACCACTCACCAAAATAGCTTTCCATATGGACATACTACATGAAAACAAAAAATTCTCCTTCATGGTCACTCTCTGCGCAGCCCCTGAGCCTAGTTTGAGACTTCGATAATAAAGCAGAAACAAAACTCCATTGTTAGCCCCAGAGTTTTTGTGATAATGTGCAAGTACATTATAGCAGAATCAATAGGTGGTTCAGGGAAATTCTACAAATCTAACTGCCCTTGGGCAGTTTGAGGTTGATTTAAAAGAGGAAAGCAATAAGGGTGGTGGAATTTTGAACTCCTATGAGACCACCAACTGAACCCACAGATCTGGGACATCTGGGACCCAGAGAGAGGCAAACTAACAGACATACCCCTACTTTTAGAGGTGAGGGTGCACCTTCATTGTGAAGAGGGCTTTGAAAAAGGCTTGGTGGCCCTTGTGGGCTAAGATTTGCACCAAAAGCAAGGGCTGAACCTAGGTTTTGAAGTTGAAGCCTGGTTAGAACAGATAGGTGCTCTGCATTTAGAGGAGCTAGGGGCTCCCAGAGGATGATTCGTAGCTCATCCAAGTCACCATTTCAATCCTAAAAGCTAGAGAAGTGGCTTGGATAAGCTATGAAAATGTCTTCAAGAAAACATCTTCAGTATTAGAGAACATGTCCAGTTGAACGTGACTACTCTCAGATATTTGTCCTAAACAGACAAAGATGGAAATTCTCTTTAACAAGTTCCACCCACTCTTCATCCCCAAAATCTCCTACATGACCCAATACCTTTTTTAGGTAGAAGAGCTGCTGCATCCTGTGCTCTATTCGGAGCAGAATTCCCCAGGCTCAGGAATATATGGTATATATAGGCTATAGAGTATAACTGAGATCTCCAACTAAACTTCAGTGTTTGTCTGAATATAGCCTAAACACTTCTGGGACTTAAATATCCAACATATTGATAAAGATGAACCCAAATTATCATCCAATATAAAAAGATATACAGATACAGACAACAAAGCCTTTGTGGCAGTACCTTTAACTCTACAGCATTGATAAGTTTTCCACACTTGTCACACTGGTCACCTCTGGCCTCATCATAGTTACAGAAGGGGCATATTCCTTCTACAAAACGATCCGCCAAGAATCTTTGACAGGTCTCGCACCGTAGCTGCTCCACAGTGTCTTCCAACAAGAAGCCTCTTTCCAGTAGTCGATGGAAGATGTCTTGAGCGATTCTATTTTAAAATGTGCACATACTTTACGGCTATGAAAAACACCTGTATTAACTATATAACGTCACAGATCTCTTTACGTGCAAACTTTACTGACTTGCCCTGAAACAAACCAGCATTCACTTTCTCCATAATTTCATAACAGCTTCACTGTAAGACAACAAAATGTAATCATTGGTATTAGTTATAAATTACAGGGAAAACTCCACACTTATTTTGGGTGGAGTATGATGGGTGCAATCTATAGGTAAAAGTATGGAGAAAGTGGAAGCCCTAATTTGGATGGAGATCTAAAGATAGTTTGATGATCTTTTTCTTCACATAAAAAAGAAAGAAAAAAAAAAAAAAAAAATAATACTATTTTAGGCTGGCAAAGAGTCTTTTGCTTTGAAGACAATCCATTTAATTTTTATTCAGTCAGATAGGCCCTTGTGCATAATAGTTCTTGATAGACTATAGGAAGATTATACAAATCGTAAAAACATATGGTCAGCTTAGGGACACTATTTTGAGAGCTACTTTGCCAGACAGGAACTAATGTTAATGGATCCATGTACTCTGTAAATAGCTGTGTAATACATTAGTGTTACATAAAAGGCAAGATATCATTTCAGTTTTCTGAAAATACTCATTCAAAATCATACCAATTTATGTTCTTTTTTTTTCTAAAATTGAGGTTTATTATGAAAACTATTTCCCTCCAAAAACCTACTGTACAAAAACGGGATACTATCTGCTGCCAGTCACGTAAATGGAGAGCACTGACTTTTTTTTGCCCAGCATATTACCCATCCTATAAAATGTACTGTATGTCAAACTAAAGAAACTAATAGATGTAAACACTGCGTTAAGTTGGTCTCCTGATTCCACCTCCACTAACACACTGCCAAGTGCTGGCCCTGTCCATCACAGTTTCCAAGGGGAAAAGAAAATTCTAGTTGCATAGCTGGTAAAATCATAGTGAGATATGGCTAAGTAAGTGTCAGAAGAGTGTTGCTTTTATCAATCTGCTACCTGACATGCTGCCAACCAAAATTTTCTTTGCTCCTAAAGAAACTAATAAAATATACTATAAAGCTTTAAAAAGTATCCAAACCCAAAAAAATTAATATATTGCTCGCCTTATGGACCTTAGATGTGTTTGATGCATTAATTTTCATTTTTCTCCATTATGTTTACCTGGTGATCTTACCTGCAACACTTCCTGCCAAAAGGGCGATAACGCTTATATACACCGTACTGTATTTTTTTGGGGAACAACGTTGTCACCCTATCACAGGAAGTATAGTAGGATTAAAGAACACCCTTCCCTCTTCTCATCTTTGCAGCACAGAAGGGTGTGGTATTCTGTAGAATACCACACAGAAATAAATGGGAATAATGCCAACATAGCAAATAAAAGTTATTAGTTTATTTGATTTCTAACAGAATACACAGGTATTTTTTGTACTTAGTGAACAGCTCAGACAAAGTGTAAATAGTATATTTAAAAAGACCAGAAGGAAGCAAAAAAAAAAAAACCGTTAGGATTTACATACATTTTAAAAGTAGGAAAAAAAGGGAAAGAGACCAGGCTGAATTCTTACTTTGTCTGGTGTGGAGTTGTTGTTCTGCCAAAATAGTCGAAGGAGATATTGAACCACTTGTATATGGCTGTGTGGACAGCATTGTACTTGTCACAGATCTGCTGTGGAGTCAGCCCTTCTTCCATTGCTTTGGTTTCAGTGGCAGTGCCATATTCATCTGTCCCACACACAAGAAGAGTGTTCCAGTCCCTTAGCCGACAGTACCTGCAAGATCCATTGCAAGATTTTATTTTCCTTTCAGTAAAATCAAACTAATACTAGAAACTGGATCATGTACAAATATTACTTTCCAAAAACCAAGAAAAACATGGGATATTGAGTATTACAAAACCCATGCAAACAGTAAATTCAGCTGTAAAAACTAAAGCTACAATAATCCCTTGCATGATCATAACTCAAATTATCCTGGCCATTAATTTCTTCACCAATTATTAGATAATGTAGGTATCCATAATCATCTCTGGTAAATCACATATTGCCACAGTTTGCACTCCATATCATGGCTTCCTGGCATGGATTTACAAATATTAAAATTAAGCTTTAGGTAAAAAAAAAAAAAATTATATACATTTATACACACAACGTGTGCATAATATAATTTTTTTTTTTTTTACTTCTCCGATTATTAAACTAAAAACTTTCAGAGGGCTGTATGCTCTAGGATTTTTCTGCTCTGCTTGCAGATGTATTCAGTTACCACCTTTTTGAAAGTACATTATTTTAAAATTAAAAAAAAAAAATTTAAAAAAAAAAAAAAAAAAAAAAAAAAAAAGGACTTTTCCTAACCATACATCAGAGGACGCTGGGCATCTTCATATTCATAACTACTTGGGCTATGCTACTGACATATTTAGCTAAATGGACACTGGTTTTGTGTCTCTCTCTCTCTCTATATATATATATATTTTTTTTTTTTTTTTTTCTATTTTTTATTCTGTTAGTTGTAGCTCCACCCCAGGTTGAAGTCTAGTTTATGGGCATTCCCACTTTCATTCTGCAACCCTCCAATGTAATAATTTCAACTGTAAAGAAAGCTAGTGAGCAAAAACCCTCAGCAGCAGTAGCCACAGTTTGCCATTTTGGATCTGAAGAGGGAGTACAGTTGTAACTGTTAAACAAGCTTGCATTTGAATGACTGCACTGGACTCCACTGTCATGCACAAAAGCATAAGCTGAGAAAAACACACGCCAACAGCAACTGCACTTGTCCAAGAGAGGACTGTGCTCATCAGCTTTCTTTACAGTAAAAAATGAAGATGGCAGATGAGACACTGGGCTTCACAATTACAAGAATGGGCTGCAGATGATGTAACTGGCATTTTCAAAGGAGGAGGGGGCAGGGGTGTGCAGATTCTGTCTGCTTGTTCCAGCATGGTCAGCTACTGATGGGATGTTGGGTGAGCTATCTGACCACACATTAATCAGTAACCACACCACAGATCTCAACTGCAACAAACATTTTATAATTCTTGTGATACAGTAACTCAGCAATATGCCCCCATTTCTAAAGTATCATGCTATACATTTGTAGCTCCATTTTACATCTTCTCCCTCTGCTAAACCATTGAGTTTCTCATTGTATTACGAGTAGCAGTTTTGGACATGGGCAGCAGTGTGGACAGGCTTCTCAGTGCAATGACACTTCTGTTTACACGGCTGCCTGATGCTGGTTCAGCATAGGTTTTGTTTTTTTTTTTTAAAGTCACTGCTTTTCTTTAACCCTGAGACATATCTCAGAAGCCTTACTACCAGTGTGGATAAAATCAATGATTAAAAAAAAACAACTGATTTTTTTTTTTTTAAATCTGATTTTTTTGATTTAAATCGATTTTTTTAAATAAAAATGCTTTTTGAGAAAAATATATTACCATCCAAAGGTTATTCCATCATGAAATAAAGATTATTTTTTAATTATGTAGAATAAGGCTGTATACGTTTAATTTTTTTGGTAAATAAATTCCATTAATCCATTCACAATGTCATGCTCTTCCAGCGGTTTTTGTTAGATTATTGGGCAGTTTCTCTGCCTACAAGATATTATCACAGATGCTTGGTTTACTTTTGCAGTTCTCAAAACTGAATTGACTCAGCGGAGATCACATGCCTCTTCTTCACAGCAAAAATGTTATAATATGAACAGAGTTAAGAAAAAAGACCTTAATCCTAACTTCTACAAACCTATGAATACAGAATCAACCCCTTCAGTGCTAAGTTTCAAGAAGTTCAGTGAATAGAATAGAAACAATATTTTTCTGATTGTTTGGAGTGGAATAGATCTGCACAAGAAGAAAGTGAAACTAAGTGTGAGGAGGAAGGGGCTGACAGTCTAAGTTTCTTAAAATATATATATTTTTGTTTAGCCAAATTAGTTAACAAACATGGACGTTTAAGCAAATAACATATGCTGTAATGTTATTGTTTCAGTTGAATAAATCTATTTCAATTGTTATTATTAAGGTAATGATTATTTTTCTCCTTCCTAAGTACAACAGAAAAGTTGTCCAAATATGAATGATTAACCTATTAAACTGGGGATAAAAAAACTAATATGAAAAGTTGTTATTCTAAAAATCTTCATCTACTTGCATATTAAAGTTATACCAGCAAGAATTAGTCTTTATGTAGAAAACTAGGATTTAAATCAAGCCTTACTGACTAGTGATTTAAATCAGATTTAAATCAGTTTGATTTAAATCAAATCCACCCTGCTTACTACAATCGATTCATAACACAAACAAGGATAATCAAGCTGCAAGAAAGAGCTGATAAAGCCTGCCAGATCTCTCTGGCCAAGTAAAGACTAAACCTTGATAAATGCAAATTAAACAATAAGGTCTGAAGTCATATAGTATAGTTCATGTACTGCCACTGCTGAATAAAAACAAGAATGGGTAACTGGTTACAAATATTTCAATGTTAGAAAGCATAGCTCACCTGGCAAAAACATCAGCACTGAGCACAGACCCGATGATGTTCCCCAAGTGAGGCACATTATTTACGTAGGGTAAAGCACTTGTAATCAACATGTTTTTCTCACCATCAATAGGCAGTCTGGAAGTAAAAGAATTGGTTGTCAGAAGTCTGACAAAGCACAATACTGTTTCATATTAAAGTACTACTAAACCCCCAACACATCAGGATTGAATAGTTTTGCACAGCACAGTGAGCGATTCCAGTATAAGTAGTTGAAAAAAATGCAGTTAACATTTTACACTTGCATCCTCCTCCTCTACATTGTTGCTGTTAAAAATTGAATTGGGGGGGTCACATGGTGTTACCAGTTTATATACAAATAGTGCTCTGCTATAGAAAACTAAAAAAAAACATACAAAAACCTTTCCTACCTTAAAAGGGAACCAATCACAAATTCACCTATTTAAAACGTGCTGTCAGGCAGACAGGAAGAGTCCCTATTCATCTTTTCTGACATAAAAGCTTCTTTCTACTTGTTGTCCATCATGTCCACTGAGCCACGCACGCGCAGCTCAGTAAACATTCACGGCTCTCAGTATGTGCTGCAGTAACATTACTCCTGTGTGCATGTGCGAAAATGATGGCATTGCGGCACAGCCATTCTGTTTTCACTTAATTAAGGATGTGGAACATTAGGAATTGTAACAAATAAAGGTGGATTGGAACTATTAACCACTTGCCCTCCAGAGGATTTACCCCCCTTCCTGACTAGGCCATTTTTTTGCATTATGGCACGGTGTCACTTTAACTGACAACTGAGCAGTCATGCAACGCTGCACCCAAATTAAATTTACATCCTTTATTCCCCACGAATAGAGCTTTCTTTTGGTGGTATTTGATCACCTGTGCGTTTTTTGTGCTAAAAAAAAAAATAAAATAAATAAATCCGACCGACAATTGAGAAAAATATATTTATTTTTGCATTTTTTGCTATTAAACATGTCCAGTAAAAAAATTAAAAAAACATCAAATTTTGTCATAAATTTAGGCCAAAATGTATTCTACTACGTCTTTGCTAAAAAAAAAAAAAAAAATGCCAATACGTGTAATTTAATTGGTTTACGTGAAAGTTATAGCGTTTACAAATGGCGGTGTGTACACACACACACACACACACACACACACACACACACACACTTTTTTCCCATTTTTTATTTTTACTAGTAATAGCAGTGATCAGCGAATTATAGCAGGACTGCGGCGGGCATTCTGACACTGAGGGGAATGGACTTGGTGTCACTGACATCCCCAGGAACATCAATACAGTGATCAGTGCTAAAGAAAAGCCCTGACACTGTACTAATGACACTGGGCAGGAAGGGGTTAACATGAGGGGTGAACAAAGGGTTAACTGTGTGCTGTTTTACTAGGGGTGTGTCTGACAGGGGAGAGAACTGTTTTGTATACAAACAGTTCTCCCCCCCCCCCCCCCCATCAGAGATGCTCTGCAATCTCGGGGCACCGGCAAGTAATCACCCGGCCAGGACCTGGTGATTGACAGCCATGAATGGTGGGTGCACGCATGCCCCCTACCCGGTAATGCAAAATCACTCACACTTTCGTGTGCATTGCTAGAGAGGTTTTTTTTTTTTTTTTGGTTTCTTGGGAGGGTGCATGTGATCAGCAAAGGGCCAATCAACACTGTCCAGAGAGCTCAGGGGAGCAGAAAGAAAACTCCTCCTACGAGCCTTAACATGTGCTCTGCTGAAGTCACAAGACTGCTCTAACTGTTGATGAGAAAAGGTATTTAGCAGTTTATATTTACTAAAATAATTGCACTTCCATGTTCTGTGTACTGTGGGAGACCAGATATAGTGAATGCAGGGTCCTGGGTTTAGTAACACTTTAAAACTCCCAGGTGGACATGAAAAGTGTGGAATTATGCTAAGAAGATCTCACGGTTGAAGTAGCCAGGAACTAATTCAACTGATTAAGCTTCACATAATATTATAGGTACTAAAGGCATAAAAATCCTAATTGAACGTAAAAACTGAATAGTGTGTTATTCAGCATTTAGCTCAACAGTAAAACAAATACCCCCCCCCCCCCCCCCCCCCCCCAAAAAAAAGCAAACAAACCAAAGAAAATAAGAGTCGGCAAAGTTATATATATCCTGTGGCTTGCTTGGGAAGTTGGGTCAGCTAGTACATTTCACATTGCTCAAGGCTGAAGTGTAAGATCAGTGGGGCAATGCACTGGCACCACTCTAGGTCAGCCCCATAGGAATGCATACATCCCATTGTGCCTGCAAGCTAAGCTGATATGCAGTAGACATTCTTAAAATACTCACATTGGTTGCTGCTGTGGTTTTGGCTTTGGAACATCATGCAGACCCTTCTTCCAAGCTTCAGTGGCAGCAGCAATATCCTCTTCCGACAGCAACCGGGCTGCTGTATCTTCACCCTTAGAATGGATAAGCCGAAACTGAAATAGCACCAACGAAGCACCTCAACCTTCTTTATGTACAGCCTATAATCTAGGGGAATCTGTGCACATCAAAACTAAATCTTTAGTGTGATTTATATTTCTAAAGAGCAAGCTTTGTGCCCTGCCACCCTTATCTTTACTTTATAACCTAAAGTGTAAGCACACTTTTACAATTAAAGTGGTTGTAAACCCTTACATATACCCAATGAAGGGACTGGCCTCAGGTGATACAGAGATGAAACACATTCTCCTACATTAGTTGTACCTGTTTATTTGCAGTCTTCTCTTCTCTACATCTGTTCAAAGTCCAGAATTTATAAAGCTTATCTGAGAGTTCAGAAAAGAGGGGCAGAGAGCTGAAACTACATACTGCAGAGCTCAGTGAGGAGAGTTCTGACAGCTGATTGGAAGAAAGAAAAACATACCCCTCCACACAGCAACAGAGCTGAGGCTGTCACTCTGCTGAAGGTCCCTTCCCCATCACCATTTTTCTCTTGGTGTTAGTAAAACTTGTCAGAAGCGATCCATGCTGATAGCAGAGGAACAAAGCAGCACACAGAAATTACACTTAGAGCTCTGAATTGAGACAAGTGCACATTTTTTTCATATTTCATGTCTGGGGTTTACAACCACTTTATCTTACCTTATTTGTCTGTTACACATACCAACAAAAGCAGTGTTATATACAGTATATCAAATGCATAGACAAGGCAATTTACCTTATGTCCCATTTGCTCAATTTAAATCATCACATTGTGGTGTGTGCTGGGAAAAAGTGAACCGTGCATTTTTCTGTGGTTGTGAAGCACCACACCACACAAACATGACTAAAAAAGTAAGACTGTGACATTCCAATTAAATGACACACACAACACACACACACACACACACACACACACACACACACACACACACACACCTCGAAAAATTAGAATATCGTGCAAAAGTTCATTTACTTCAGTAATGCAACTTGAAAGGTGAAACTAATATATGAGATAGACTCATTACATGCAAAGCAAGATAGTTCAAGCCGTGATTTGTCATAATTGTGATGATTATGGCTTACAGCTCATGAAAACCCCAAATCCACAATCTTAGAAAATTAGAATATTACATGCAATCAATAAAACAAGGATTGTACATAGAACAATATCAGACCTCTGAAAAGTATAAGCATGCATATGTACTCAGTGCTTGGTTTGGGCCCTTTTTGCAGCAATTACTGCCTCAATGCGGCGTGGCATGGAAGCTATCAGCCTGTGGCACTGCTGAGGTGTTATGGAAGACCAGGATGCTTCAATAGCAGCCTTCAGCTCTTCTGCATTGTTCGGTCTCATCTTTCTCTTGGCAATGCCCCACAGATACTCTATGGGGTTCAGGTCAGGCGAGTTTGCTGGCCAATCAAGCACAGTAATCCCACGGTCATTGAACCAGGTTTTGGTGCTTTTGGCAGTGTGGGCAGGTGCCAAATCCTGCTGGAAAATGAAGTCAGCATCCCCATAAAGCTCGTCTGCAGAAGGAAGCATGAAGTGCTCCAAAATCTCCTGGTAGACGGCTGCGTTGACCCTGGACTTAATGAAGCACAGTGGACCAACACCAGCAGATGACATGGCTCCCCAAATCAACACGGACTGTGGAAACTTCACACTGGACTTCAAGCATCTTGCAGTGTGTGCCTCTCCATTCTTTCTCCATACTCTGGGTCCTTGGTTTCCAAATGAGATGCAAAAGTTGCTCTCATCAGAAAAGAGGACTTTGGGCCACTGAGCAACAGACCAGGTTTGTTTTTCTTTAGCCCAGGTAAGACGCTTCTGACGTTGTTTGTTGTTCAGGAGCGGCTTGACAAGAGGAATACAATTGAAGCCCATGTCCAGGATCCATCTGTGTGTGGTGGCTCTTGATGCACTGACTCCAGCCTCAGTCCACTCCTTGTGAAAGACCCCAACACTTTTGAATGGCCTTTTCCTGACAATCCTCTCCAGGCTGCGGTCATCCCTGCTGCTTGTGCACCCTTTTCTTCCACACTTTTCCCTTCCACATAACTTTCTATTAATGTGCTTTGATACAGCACTTTGGGAACATCCAACTTCTTTTGCAATTACCTTTTGAGGCTTTCCCTCCTTATGGAGGGTGTCAAGGATGGTTTTCTGCACAACTGTCAGGCCAGCAGTCTTTCACATGATTGTGATTCCTACTGAACCAGACTGAGAGACCATTTAAAGGCTCAGGAACCCTTTGCAGGTGTTATGGCTTAATTAGCTGATTAGAGTGGGACACTTTGAGCCTAGAATATTGCACCTTTTCACAATATTCTAATTTTCTGAGATTGTGGATTTGGGGTTTTCATGAGCTGTAAGCCATAATCATCACAATTATGATAAATCATGCTTGAACTATCTTGCTTTGCATGTAATGAGTCTATCTCATATATTAGTTTCACCTTTTAAGTTGCATTACTAAAATAAATGAACTTTTGCACGATATTCTAATTTTTCGAGCTTCACATGTATGTATGTATGTATGTATGTATGTATGTATGTATGTATATATATATATATTTTATTTTTTTAATCTAAACTGTGTGATGCATCGCCCTGTTCTTTTCACAGCACACCCCAGCAGCTGTGGTAGAATACCATCTGCTGGGGTAAACATGCCCTACTCATACAGTCATCCAAATGGAAGCAGAAGACTTTTTTCATAAAATCATGTATTATAGAATTGTAAAAAACAAATATTTGTATACAAAAGTTAAATATATAAAACAACCGGTTAAGTAATAATTCTAACCAAAACCATTATAGTTTCCCCTTTAAGCTTCTACTAAAGAATGAAAATCTTTCTGCAGCAAATAGCAGAGACCCAAAATAAGCCACTTACCTCCTGCTCATTGGAGAGGGATTTCTCAGATACCAGGACAGGTGCAGGGAGCTTTTGGAGAAATGCTTTAAATACAGATGGTCCCTGGCCTTTCAGAAGCGATTCAGCAGCTTTTTGACATTGGTCTAATTCAGTTACTTTTTTAAACCAACCCTTCAAAGATGAAAGCTCATCTAAAAAACATAAAAGAAAAACATGGATACTTACACTTAAATATATACAAATGCAAAAATTAAATCAAGATTCATTTGTTTTGTTTTCTAAAACAAAGCAAAAAAATAAGGTACTGTATATGTTATTAGTTGGCAAATATTCTGAGGTGGTGTCAATGCAGAAGACATTGTGGTGCCTGATGGTTGTATTACTGATCTTGAAGAAGTCAGGGGAGGGAGTACAGGCTGGAGGGAATAGTATGAGCTCCATTTTAGAAAGATTTAGTTTTAGGAAATGGAGTGACATCCATTGCTGATATTTCGCTTAGTAGGTTAGTAATGTGAGAGAAGACTGAAGAGGTGAGGTGAAGGGTAGAAAGATAGATTTGTGTGTCATCAGCATAGAGATGGTACTTAAAGCCATGGGAGTTTATCAAGTGACCAAGGGAGGAGGTGTAGATGGAGAAGAGAAGGGGTCCAAGGACAGAACTTTTAGGGACCCGTACAGAAAGAGGGAGTGGAGAGGAGGAGACAGAGTTATAGGTAACGCTGAAGGAGCGCTGCGATAGGTAGGAGGAGAACCAGGAGAGAGCAGAGTCTTTGAGGCCAAGAGTGGAGTTTTTTTGAGGAGGAGGGGATGGTCAACAGTAACAAAAGCCGCAGAGAGATCAAGTAGTAAGAGTACGAGAGTAGTGGCCATTGGTTTTAGCAGTTCGTAAATCATTAATGAGTTTTAGTAGGGCAGTTTCAGTGGAATTTAGTGAGCGAAAGCCAGACTGTAAAGGGTCAAGAAGGTTGTTGTCAGTGAGGTAGGAGCTCAGGCGTTTGTAGACTAAACGTTCTAAGTCTAGGTTCACACCTATGCATTTTGCGCTGCGTTTTGCGGAAATGCAAAGCAGTCCATTTTACATGATTTCCTATGGGACAGGTTCACATCTCCACGTTTTCACCCGCTGTATTTTTTGGAAAGGGTCAGAGACTTTTTTTTTTTTTTTTTTTTAAAAACGCAAACATTGTGCTTTTGGTTCTAAAGACTTCAATGGAGGTGCTTCAGAAAAGCATGTAGTGCATTTTTTACATTTTTTATGTGTTTTAATCTGCCCAGCAACAAGTTAAAACGTGGTAAAAACACATGTGCAGAAAAACGCAAAACGCACTGCAGAAACAGATCAAACACAAACTGCATAGGTGTGAACCTAGACTAAGAGTTTAGAGGTAAACAGGAGAAGGGAGATGGGTCTTAAGTTGTTCAGGTTGGTGGGGTCCAGGGAGGGCTTTTTAAGTATGGGAGTGATGTGTGCATGCTTTAGAGGGGAGGGGAAGGTGTCTATAGAGAGGGAGAGATTGAAGATGTGAGGGAGCATAGGACAGAAGAGGAGGGTGACCGTAGTAGTTGTGAGGGGACAGGATCTAGGGGGCAGGTAGTGAGCTGGGCTTCTGAGAAAACCTTAGTGACCTCTTCAGTAGTAGCAAGGTCAAAAGAGGAAAGTGTTGAGGGAGGTTTAGTATAAGGTATGCTAAGTAGGATAGAGGTCTGTGCCATGGAAATGCTCCTAAAAATTGCATCAATCTTGTATTGGAGAGTTCTCCTTATTCTCTCAAAAACAAAAAAAAAAAAAAAAAAAAACACTACATTCATCTACTGCTTAATGGCCCTGTAACCTATTTTTCATTAAGTTGTTCCCTATTGTGTTTTCCTCCTCCTTGTAACAAGCAATGCATGTTAGTTTCAGTCATGTGTTCCAGGTACACTACAAATTCCATTATCCATATTCCCAAATCCATCCCCAGAAACAAGCAAGAGAGGGGGTGGCTGCATGCCTACACACAGTGAGACCATGAAGAATGAACATGGCCTCCCTTTAAAAGGTTAACAGGAAACAGCTGCAAATATATATATATATACAAAAATAAATAGGAATTAGGAGGTTTGAAGGAGGTTGAAACCAACAGAAAGTACTTATTTGCATTAATACATACTTTAATAGAATTTCCTTTAAGAGTTTATATTATATCCTAAGTTACACAAAAAAAAAAAGAAGAAAAACAAATCAAAACAACCTACCTGGCAGGCTTGTTCCATCTATTACGAGGGGGTAAATTGCTCCCCAAACCACAATATCAGCAACTGACAACACATCCTACAAAATACAACAAAAAAAAAACTCAAAATATTTTAATTTTCAGTCGAGTTAGGAAGGCGGTAGAACCAGTCAGGTTTTACTGCTAAAGAGATTTTGCTTCACTTCCTGTACCGTAGGCAGTGATCATTTGGATAAAACGTTAAAGGAAATCTCCCAAGTGGAAACCCAGACAGCAACAGAAACCTGACAGATAAAACTAAAACACAGATGGGGGATTCATCGTATTGGCCATATATAGATGTAATACCATCTTTACTGAAAACTATCAACCAACAAATTAATAAAAAAATTATTTCTTATGGAGCAATAAAGAGGTATGTAATAGAAAAAGGAAGCAAAAGATCATTCTCATTATTATAAGCATCACACAACATGAATCTCTGTGCCTATTTCTCAGTGTAATCTTACCAGATTATGTAAACCACAACAATCAAAATGCTGCAACATAAAAGTATCTTTCAGAATGTGAGTGACAGCAGCAGATACAGCCACCATTTGTTTAAGGCTAGGCATTCCCTGATCTTCATTTCTGGTCTAAACATGGAGGAGTAAAAAGCCCAACTGCAACCAAGTGATACTTGTGCCTGCTGTGCTGGGTTTAGATGCAGACATCCCCGAAGGGGCCTACAGCATCTGGACACCCTGAATATATGGTAATATTTTGTTTCTGTTTTATCACAACATTATACCTTGGAATAAAGTGATCCTATCAGTATTATGCTATGTGGTGTCCCTTATTGGGCTTTCTTCGCGAGTGCCACCCTCCGCAGTGCCTGCCCTAAAGGTGACCCCAGATGGTGTTGCATACCAAGGAACCCTAATATGGTTATGACCAGACGATGATACGGAATGTGACCAGACCAGGATACGGAGTATCAAATGAGTTCCTGATGACACAGGATTCTTCTTATATGCGTATTACATACGCACTTCTGGTGAGTGCGCATTCTATTTATTGAGTTTTATCATTCATCACCTCCTGGATCAAATATCCACGCACAAGAATTGTGATCCCAACGGATCCTCACGTTTCCTCATTGGACTTTTATTTTATTATGGTCATCGTATGGTGATATCATATATTGTACTTTGTTTATTCTAAGGATGACGTATCATACCATATAGATTATGCTTGATTTAATGTCATATTTTTAGTTGTTTTTATAATTCAGGGCTGCACTTATATATTTCACATTGTAAACCCATAATCATCACAGTTATGACAAATCACGGCTTGAACTATCTTGCTTTGCATGTAATGAGTCTCTTTCATATATAAGTTTCACCTTTTAAGTTGCATTACTGAAATAAATTAACTTTTGCACGCTATTCTAATTTTTTGAGTTTCACCTGTATGTGAACAGCCTTCATAGAAACTCATGTTTTCATTTGTCATGCAGTTCCATGCTTTTCGAAACGTATGAATTAGTGTGCATCAGTACTTAGGCTTTATGCTGCAAAGGGAACAAAAAAGGGTGTACACAAGTAGCAGCAAGAAGAAAAAAAAAAAAAGCCTCTACTGTGTTCAGTGGGTAGTAGCAGCAACCAAATGTGACCCAGACAAGTAAATGTGGTCATGCCGCAATGGTTCCACATGGTGGTGCAGGCTTTTAGGGTTAAAACAAAGGATCGTGGATTGCTTTTCAGAGCCAACGCAAATGTAAACTAGCAATAAGACAGTTGTAACCAGAACCAGTGCTTCCATTGGAAGATTTCTTTTCACTTTATGTATCAGCAACATAGGTCACCAGGGAAAAACAAAAAGTAAATCTTTACATTAGGGATACAGAAAGCAATAAAAACCCAAAAGGGGCTTAAAAACATTATTCTATCGAAAACTAAGTTTTGGCTTAAGATGCATTTTAAAGCTAAACCCCAAGTGAACAGATTATTACACTTACAAGAGCTGTTTTTCCTACCATATTTGCATTTTTGACCATCCACTTGTAAGAGTTACACAGCTCTGCTCCACAACACAGCCCTGTCTACTCAAGAAGAAAACGTGATCCATCTTTGCTGCAGTTTCACTTACAGGATTTCTCCCAACCACACACCTTGTGACCGGATAGTCAAAGGCAAAACAACACACTGATGAGCTCATCTCTGCAATCCTGTTCTCTCTCCCGATCAACATGCTGCATGCACTGCATTATAAACGAATGGCTCCTTGTACGGCTTCTCCCTCCCTACAGCTCTACTGTACCACAGACTGCAAGTAGCTGATTTCAAGTTAAATTCAGGCACCTACACTGCTTGCATATGAACATTACATTTAATGATATAATAATTTGGTAAAAAGACCAAGTGCTTTCTCTTAGTATGTAAGAACAATATACCATCTTTACAAAAATGTGTCCACTATAAAATATGAATTTCTGATCAACCATATGGTGTACCAACATGAAAAAAAAAAAAAAATGTTAGCTGCCCCTTAACCACTTGCTTACTGGGCACTTATACCCCCTTCATGCCCAGGCCAATTTTCAGCTTACAACGCTGTCGCACTTCGAATGACAATTGCACTGTCATGCAACATTATACCCATATGAAATTTTATAATTTTTTTTTCACACAAATAGAACTTTCTTTGGTAGTATTTAATCGCCGCTGGGCGTTTTATTTCTTTTCACTATAAACAAACAAAAAAAAAAAAAAGAGCAAATAATTTGGGGAAAAAAAAAAATTTTTTTCTATAAACATTTTTCTCCTTCATTTATGTACATTAATGAGGCTGCACTGATAGGCAGCACTGATGAGGTGGCACTGGTGGGCATTGACGAGGAGGCACTGATGATGCTGCACTGATATGCAGCAATGATGGGCATTGACTGATGGCACTGCTGGGTGCCACTGATGGGGGGCACTGATGGGCACGTGCCCCTGGGTGCGTGTTAGAGGGTGCATTCTAGGAGGACATCACATGACGCCTTCCCAGAACTGGGTAACCGCGTTGTAGCCGTCATTCGGCTATAGTGCGGTTACAAAGTGGTTAAAGTGCAAAATCACTTGTGACCAATTACTGAAGTAAGGTATGGCACTTCACATACATGCTATAGAAAACAATATTCCGACTGTGATACAAAACTTAAAGTGATATAAATCAGCAAGTCCAAAAACAAAAGTCCTACATCAAATTGTAGATCAGAAACAGTGCATAATCTTCTGGTGCCCCATATATTGCTTGGTCACAAATGATAGAATGTTTACAGAGCTCCAGTTGTTTTTGCATCTTATATCTGCCTGGAGCGCAGCTTAAATCCCACGAGAAAAGAAAATGTTCACAAATTTTTTTTTTTTTTTTTTACACTTACGCCAGCAAGGTACTCTTTCTTTGTAAGACTTTGAGCAACATAGCCAAGAGAATTGTTAACGGTTTGTAGAACCTCTTCTTTTTCTTCCTCCCTTGCACCACATGAGCATACAAAGCAGCAGAGACAGATGGCTAGAACAAAACAAAACCTGTTAGTGCATGCTACATTTTTCTTTGTATCAGCCTGCCAAGTATTAACATGTTCAGGCAATGTACCTGCAACTCTGTAGCTTCCCATTCTAACCACTGATTAATGAGGTCGCTCGTCTCTTTCCCAGCAGACTGATAAAAACACCTACAAAGACAACAGAGAAAAGTCAACTTCCCCTATCAGTTCTGTTGTTAGAAGTCTGAGGACCAGTTAGGCAAGTTCACACAGTCACACACATTCCCAAAAAGAGACAGAAATGCAGGGTGTGCAATTCTTATCGATATCCCCACGCATCAGCAAAACTGCATAGTGCTGCAGCACCATGAAATTCCACTTTTTAAAAAGGGTTCAGGGCTTCTTTCCCCATGTTTCTGTGGGTAGGACAGCGCACTGAAATGAATGGAAAGGACTACATACAGAATGCAGCCCCCACAAGTTTGAACTGGGCCTTAAAAGACATCCTACAGCTATGCTGTCGCTGTACTAAAGCTGTTGGTACACAACTTCATATTTGGTGGGATTGTGACCCAATACAACCCTTCTGGCGGTAGGTCTTTGCTGTATACGACAAGATCTATAGTGAGTCCTTGGCCCCTTTGCCAGAAACTGCTCTTCTCTCTATATTACCGGGCTCGGTGGCTGCGCAGAAGAAAAGTCTGTTACGTTTCTTTCTATCCGCGGCCCGACAATTGATACCCCTCTTTTGGAAAACGACCACTCCCCCCGCCTCTGCCGATGTGGGTTTCTGTGCATATTGAGGAAATGCTGGCATTTGCCAATGATAACTATGATAAACATAAGGTTACTGTGGTCGGTCTAGCTTCATTTCTCCTCTTCAACTCTCCGAGATATGTGTTCCCGTGCCGTGTCCTAGAGGAATTGAGCCTTGCTCCCCCAATGCATTATTGTTCTGGCATGTTCGCCAGTTTGGCCCCGTGGCCCGTACCGGGTGCGGGGGGTAACTCTGGCAGGTTGCTGGTGTGGGGCTGTCTTGACTCCACTTTCTGCCGCATCTGTCCTTCTCCCTCACTAGCCTTACAATTGACTTCCCCTTTTTCTTTTTTCTCTTCCCTGTAGACTTCTTTTTTTTTGTTTGGGTTTATACTTTTGGTTACATGGAGTTTCCACATTTTGTTCCATATATATTGTCTGAGGATGCACCCCGTGACCCTATGTTCTTTTCTGTTTCTCTCTATAGCTCCGTAATATGTGTTATTGAAAACACTTCCATTTCGTTGTTGTTTAGACTTATTTTCATTCATCCGCATGGACCATTGACACACCTCTGATGTTTTTTCTATCCACTTATTTGTCCACACTATTATTATTTCTCATGTTTTGTATTGTTAACCACTTCCCGACCGGCCGTTGCATATAAACGGCCGGACGGTGGCAGTGCAGGGTCGGGTGGCCGTTTATAAACGGGCTCCCGGCACCCTGCTTGTGTGCGCTCCCTCGGAGCGCGCAGCACTGCGATCCGGTGCCCGCTGTGTCCTCCGGACACAGTGAAACACCGATCGTCGGACGGGACCTCTGTACGAGGTCCTGATCATGTGATCACTGATTGGCCAATCAGTGATCACATGCAAAGTAGTAAGCAAGACGTCACTTGTGACATCATTGCTTACTACGTGTGAAATCTGTGAATGATCACAGAGGTCACATGGTACAAGGCTATTCACAGCAGCCTTGTACCATGTGACAAGCTGTGACCAATCACAGCTCACTCAGTACTTCTCAATGAGTGCAAGAATGCACACAGAGAGAAAGAGAAACGATTGCTTTTACATCCTATATGGGTATAAAAGCAATCAGTGTAAAAAAAAAAAAAAAAAATATCTTCATCACCCCCCACAAGTAGTACAGTGTCACCATGGTGACACTGTACTGCTAGGGTGACAGTATGTAAAAAAAAAAGAAAAAAAATATTATAAAAAAAATAAAATAAAAATGTAAAAAAAAAAAATGTTTACAAATTATAAATTTTTGATTATAAACTAATTTGGATCTTTTTTTTTTTTTTACTAAAAAGATAATGGAATAAATTTTGGCAAAGATTTATGATGAAATATTATTTTTAATTTGCAAAATTTTATAAAAAAAAAACACTTTTTCTTCAAAATTTTTGGACTTTTTCATTTACATAGCAAAAAAAATAAAAATCCCAGAGGTGAATAAATACCACCAAAATAAAGCTTTATTTGTCTCAAGAAAATGGTAAAAAATTCATTTGGGTACAGTGTTGCATGACCGCGCAATTATCAAGTGTGATAGCGCTGAAAGCTGAAAATTGCCCTGGACAGGAAGGGGGTAAAAGTGTCCGGTCTGGAAGTGGTTAATATTGCTGTAAAATATAATAAAGACAAATTTGCCTTTAAAAGACATCCTGCATTTATAAATCATAGACAATTGCATGATAAAAACGTACCAAGCTCTTTACTTGCTTTTGGACTCTTGCACTAGGAAAATTAACATTATCATATGAATGAAAACCTGGCAGCTTTATGCTCACCCTACATGTAGTGATCTTATTTTTTTTTTATAAACTCCACGATTCTAATCAAATCAAGAAAATGGCTTTAATAGCACTTTGATCACTAAACTGATCTTGCAAAAGAAAATCCAAGATGAAGACAAAGGTGTGCCTTAATAAAGTTCTATTGTATTTTTAACCGGAATTAAACCCTCCTATCCTTTTCAGCCAAGGAAGCTGCCATCTTAGTCTCTGTATGAGCTGCAGCTGCCATGGTGCTGCACGTGATCAGCTATGACTCCAGCCATTTGATGGGTTTAGGCCTCGTTCACACCATACATGCAGAAAACCTGATGTAAACTGATGTCTCTGCAAGTGAAATCTAGATGTCAGTTTCTATCAGTTTTCAGGCACGCAAAAACAATCTGCATGTGATACTAGGGTTAAAAGGGCACTTAGAGAACAATTGATTTTGTTGTGCCCTTGCAGAATGCATGCAGAAAAACAGATGTCTCTGCACCATGGTGTGAACGAGCCCTTACAGTTTGGTTGATAGCACAGGTAAATGTGACGTCATAACTGGCGTGCCTGGATTGTAACTTTTTTGAAACTGTTAAATCAATGGGTTTAGTTCCGCTAAAGCAGACAAAATGGTGTATGGAGCTTTAGATCAATTCTGAGCTGATCACTCAATTAATTTTTCACATTGTCAGACTAAAAGAAAAAAGGTCTAAACACGGTCTACTCACCTACAGATTGCATTTGAAATAAATAGGAAATTCCCATTGTCAAGCTCTAGTGCTGGCAGTTTGGGCTGGGACAAGAAGGGCACGACTTTTTCTAGGAGAGAACAAGACAAATTAAATCATACACAAATACCATCTGATTGTAAAGAGCTGTACAATAAAACACACCGCAAAAAACAACAAAAATATGCTGACTTTTATTCAAGGAACTCTGCATCAGAGAACATTATACTGCAGACCTCTCCTTCTGAAAATGCCATTTTCCCGTCTGGCAAGAAAAGTAGCATCAATATTTTTGAGTGCATGGCGTGGCATTATGACTTTCTACATTATAGGCTTGTGCCGGGTCATTAATGAAAAGGACTGATGCCCAAGACAGCTATGCAGAGCTTATAAATAGAAAATTGAGAACAGTTATAAATCTGTGGAAATTAAAAGCTGGTGAATGGTTCATGGTGGTCTCCATTGGAAGCCCATGTGACAACAAAAAAAAGGACAATTGATAGACAGGGACAGAGGTTTTTTTTCTTGTTTTTCAAGGAACACATTCCCACACTTTCTTCATACATTATCCTCACCTAGGCAAGTATAAAGTGGCACCAGCCTCCTAACACATATGCACATGCGCTTAGCCATCAAGTGGACTGGCAGTCCTGTGTAGCTGGCCCCTTGATCATGTGTAGTTGAGTATGCTTATCATTAGGGGATTGGCTGCAAGAAACCCAAGAAAAAGACAGCTGGACCCCTGATGACGTCACACAAGAAGATGGTAGTGTGAAACCCAGTGTACTAAAGTGTTGCAGCAGATTCCTACAGAACACCGCTGGGTGCGAAAGTATGTTTTTTGTGGATAACCTAGCAAAAAAGGCTGCAGATTTACAAATTTTGAACATATCATGTTAAAGTCTATATGAAATGTTAGTGATTGGGTTGTGTACCACTTTGTCTTCCATCGTCAAGGCACAATTGTACCTCAATAATCCCTGGGATCACAAGGCATTTTAAGTGGACCTAACGGACTAAAAAAAAAAAAGTAATTAAAACAACATTTTGAACAAAAAATATATATAAAAAATGACCTTGGCCCAGCTTCCAAGAGACACAAGTTACATCACCATGCATTGTGATAGAGCTGGGCACTTGAAATTCCATATGCATGTGTTTCAGCCCAGTTAAGGCATCCATGCTCACAGGATTTTGATCACCTAACTTTCCCAAGAAGGACGCAATGTCACCTGCCACTCCAGGAAGCAACAAAAACCAGGGTGTGGGGAGTAATTTTTTTTTTTAACAGAAACTTTTTTTTCTTCAGTTGCCTTTTTAAAGTATAACTGAAAGCAAAACTTCTTTTCCTTTAGTTTTGGATAGAGTAGAGAGGGATGAGAAGAGATGCCAAGTTTTTATTGCAGTCTGTGCTCCAGTTATAGATATTCACCCTCTCTATTTCTCCCATTTACCATTATCTCCAGGAGTAAAGGAAAAGTCCAAATTTTAGGTTCTTACCAGAACAGGAATGGGTCACTAGTTCTGGTGACTACCAGGGATATTCCTCATCTTGGTTTTCTCCATTTTGGCTCCCCCTCCTGCTACACATCCTGCCTAATCTGTGTGAAAAGGTCTGTACACGATACTTGCCTATTTTTAGTCTGCTCTGGTTCAGTCATGTGACCCACAGCTCTGTATCCCCTATGTCAGTCAGTGGCAGCTGCAGGGAAGAGGAGGGAGCAAGGACAATGGCTAGGCAATGGGAACCTATGGGTGATGTCACAGCTTCCAGAATTCCCAGCCATTGTCAAGTGCTTCTTTGTTGTTCGTGCATGCTCAGTTGGCACCCAGCTGTGAAGCTGCAAGCTGTCACAGCCGGGTGCCCACAGTTAAGACACCGGGGACAAATGTCAGGAGATGTAAAATGGCTGGGGTGAGCACAGTACTGGACCCTGGGACAGGCGAGGACCCCATGTTTTGACTCCGCAGCCAGCACCCATCATGAGGGACCCCGTGCATGTCTCAGCAGCCAGCACCCATCATGAGGACCCCCGTGCCCTGTCTCAGCAGCCAGCACCCATCATGAGGACTCCATATCCTGTCTCGGCAGTCAACACCCATCAAGAGGACACAAAGTTCTGTCTCAGCAGCCAGCACCCATGAGGACCCCATATCCTGTCTCTGTAGCCAGCACCTATCATGAGGACGGCATGTTCTGTCTCAGCAGCGAGCACCTACTATGAGGATCCTATGTTCTGTCTCAGCAGCCAACATACATCATGAGGACCCCATGTTCTGGCTCAGCAGCCAGCACCGGTACTACCACTAGGCGAACTAAGCAATCGCCTAGGGCGCAGCCAACCCTTGCCTCACCTCTTCCTTCTCGTTGACCCCCAGGCTCCCAGTGTCCATCTCGGAGTCCCAGAGGGAACAGGACTGGTGTAGGACTGTTAGCAACAAAGTTTCTGTCGGATCCCAGCTCATCGCCCCTGCTAGAGAGAGACGGGAGGGCGTGCTGGTGTCCTAATACCTGCTGCTCTGGGCCGCCGATAAGGGGGTAGCACCGATTCTCCTGTAGGGTTCCCAGGCACACAGGAACCCAAACAGTAAGGAAATCCAGTTGTGAGCAAGCCAAGGAGGGGGATCAGGGCATTGGGAGCAATCACAGATTGATGCCCTGTGTCTCCTTTCCCACCGGCTTTCAGCTGCTGCAGGGAAAGACACAGATACAAGGCATTTTTCCTGTGATTGCTGCACCTAGGGTCGCCACATTATTCAGCGTGGACTGAGGAGTTGTGGGGGTCTCTGTGGTGGAGGTTCCCCAGGTGTCCCACTACCCTGCACTGACCAGTGCTGCTTTCCCCGATGACCTGCACTACCTCCTCTTCCTTGAGCAGCACCTGGCTGCCTTGCTACCAGGGGACATAATTCTGCTCTGCACTCAGACATCGCTGCACTGTTCAGTGCCAGTGTGAAGATGCCGGAGACAGATGTGCTGAGGAAGCCCTGGCCACGAGAGATCTTCAGTGCCAGAATCCTGAATGTGGTGAGTGGAGACTGGGGGCTTACTATGACCTGAAAAGTGGACCTGTCACCCACCAGCTGATGTGGAACCAGAATTCCCAGCATGCCCTGACAGCTTCTGCTGGACTTCTGTTTCCACAGGAGCTGGGAGACCTGTCTGGGATTCACCCAAACAATCCAGGTTTTGTATCATGTGCACAGGTTACAGTCCGCCTGAGACCTATAGACATTATTCAGACTAGAGGTGTATCTTCAGGGGGCCAGTGAGGCTTCCATGTGACACCTGGACAGAAGGGGTGGCATTCACTAGAACTGTTCACCTGTATTTTCGTTCTGCAGCACCTGAACGTCATCTTCTCTTCCTCTCCCTCCCGCCAGAATTCAGCCACTGCAGGAGGGAAATACAAGTGAACAGTTCTCGTAAATGCCACCCCTCCTGTCCAGCTTTCTCTTCCTTCTGCTGCCTTCGGGTCCTGTGTGCTCCCCTGGCCTGCTTCAAGGCCCTTTCCCCCTCTCTTCCCTGCCATTGGAGCAGGTGTCCCCAAGTGTAGGGAGCTCAAGGACTTTTAGGTGATAGATGTACACCAGATAGCACACAGACTGTTTTATTTATTTATTTATTTTTTTTTTTTGGGGGGGGGGGGGGTTCAAGTAGCTGGTCTTGCCTAGGGCAGTAAATATTCTGTCCTGTCTCGGCAGCCGGCACCCATCACGGGGACCCCATGCCCTGTCTCGGCAGCCGGCACCCATCACGGGGAGCCCATGCCTGTCTCGGCAGCCGGCACCCATCACGGGGAGCCCATGCCCTGTCTCGGCAGCCGGCACCCATCACGGGGAGCCCATGCCCTGTCTCGGCAGCCGGCACCCATCACGGGGGAGCCCATGCCCTGTCTCGGCAGCCGGCACCCATCACGGGGAGCCCATGCCCTGTCTCGGCAGCCGGCACCCATCACGGGGAGCCCATGTTCTGTCTCGGCAGCCAGCTCTAGGACCCCATGCCCTGTCTCGGCAGCCGGCACCCATCACGGGGACCCCATGCCCTGTCTCGGCAGCCGGCACCCATATGGGGGAGCCCATGCCCTGTCTCGGCAGCCGGCACCCATCACGGGGAGCCCATGCCCTGTCTCGGCAGCCGGCACCCATCACGGGGAGCCCATGCCCTGTCTCGGCAGCCGGCACCCATCACGGGGAGCCCATGCCCTGTCTCGGCAGCCGGCACCCATCACGGGGAGCCCATGCCCTGTCTCGGCAGCCGGCACCCATCACGGGGAGCCCATGCCCTGTCTCGGCAGCCGGCACCCATCACGGGGAGCCCATGCCCTGTCTCGGCAGCCGGCACCCATCACGGGGAGCCCATGCCCTGTCTCGGCAGCCGGCACCCATCACGGGGAGCCCATGCCCTGTCTCGGCAGCCGGCACCCATCACGGGGAGCCCATGCCCTGTCTCGGCAGCCGGCACCCATCACGGGGAGCCCATGCCCTGTCTCGGCAGCCGGCACCCATCACGGGGAGCCCATGCCCTGTCTCGGCAGCCGGCACCCATCACGGGGAGCCCATGTCCTGTCTCGGCAGCCGGCACCCATCACGGGGACCCCATGCCCTGTCTCGGCAGCCGGCACCCATCACGGGGACCCCATGCCCTGTCTCGACAGCCGGCACACATCACGAGGACCCCATGTTCTGTCTCAGCAGCCATCATGAGGACACCACGACCTATATCACCCCTTCTGAACCTCTTACCCTCCTGCTGCAGCCTCTGGATCTCCACCTGTGTAGCCCAGATCCCGGCAGCGGCCAGTACCTTCACCCCGTGCGGGTTCCCCTCACTCAGGAACAGCTTCATGCCGGCTCAATGAACTCCCAACTACCGACAGCCGGCACTTACCAGTCCCAGCACAGCTGATGCAATTCACAGTAAAGCCTACAAGCACATGGGCCGCGGGGAACGCCGGGAAGGCGAGTCCTCTATTGTCCGTGTACACAGCTATATCACCAGACAGCCGGGCCTCCGGAACTACATTTCCCTCACATCCAGGAGAAAGGGATCGTTATCTGACGGCATGACGTTGATGCGTGCGGAGGTGTGTCCTGGAAACTCTAAAGACACACCGGTTCCTGAGAGAGCATGCGGCGCATTCCTGGAAGGTGTTTGCGAGGAGCGGATACGTTAGGCGGCTCATATTCCGGCTAGTTATCCGTTGGAAGGGATTCCACGTTCTGGGAATAATATTTCGAATGTTTATCCTGCTCCCTGGGAATACGCTGTTATGGAGAGGCTGCGTTCTATAGTTCTCTGATAGAAGATTAGCACAGGGGCAGACTGACCATTCAGGCGCTCGGGCACAGCGTCAGTAGGGGGCCCCATGAGATGCCCCTAGTACCTTTCATAGGCTTTGAGTGTGGGCAAGGACTCGGGGCCCCCATGATCCTCTATTGCCTGGGGGCCCCATGAGTTCTCAGTCCTCCGCTGCAGAGGACTGTTTCAGCTGAGGGGATGTAGCATCGTCCAAGACTGGCCTTCCTCCTACAAGGGGGGGGGGGGGGTATATATATTATATTTTATCTTTTTAACCACCTTCCGCCCGCCCTATAGTACAATGACTGGCGCAAGTTGGTTCTCTCATAATGATATGATGTCCTACCATTTTCTCTGTGCATGCGTGGCTATCGCCGGTCCGCTGTGTCCCTCGGGCACAGCGGATCACGGAAAGAGCCGAAGATGTCGGTTTGGTCATGTGATCAGCTGATCACATGTAAACACGGAAATGCCGGTTATCGGCATTTCTCTCCTCTCCAGCTGTCTTGCTGTTAGCTCATGAGGAGAGCTGGTAATTGGCTTTCTGCGGAGGGAACATGTACACTGATCATCAGGGTGGCCCCAGAAGTGCCACCTGTCAGTGCCAGTGCCATATCAGTGCCCATCTGAGCTGCCTTTCAGTGTCACCTATCAGTGCCAGTCTGCCGCCTAACAGTGCAAGTCAGTGCCATATATCAGTGTCATGTATCAGTGATGCCTGTCAATGCCCATCAGTGCAACCTGTCAGTGCCACCTATCAGTGCCCATCACTGCAGCCTCATTAGCGCACATCTGTGAAGGAGAAAAATCACTTATTTACAAAATTGTATAACAAAAACTAGGAAATAACTTTTTTTCAAAATTTTCAGTGGGTTTTGGCTTAAGAAAAAATAAAAATCCCAGAGGTGATTAAATACCACCAAAAGAAAGCTCTATCTGTCTCAAAACAATAAAAATTTCATATGGGTACAGTGTGGCATGACCACGCAATTGTCATTCAAAGTGTGACAGCGCTGAAAGCTGGAAATTGGTCTGGGCAGGAAGGGGGTATAAGTGCCCTGTAGGCTAGTGGTTAAGAAGAGGCCCTAGGAAATACAGTGATGGGTGTTGCATATTTTTATATTGCACACTACACAGTAGTTTTTTTTTCAAATGCATTTTTTTTTAAGAAAAATGCACTTTTAACCCCTTCACGCCGGCGCCTCCTGGCCCTTTAATGCCTCCAGAAGCCGGGATGTGGGGTATAGGGTCATGTGACATGCTGTCACGGTGGTCACTTTATCGGGAAAGTCCTGGTTGAAAGAGGAGATCGGGACCTTTCCGTGAGTACCAGACGTGTGCTGGGAGCATGTAGGGCGCGCGCTCTCAGCACATATGTCCTTTTTTAATAGAACGCAAATGTGCGGCCGCTCAGCATCTAGGCCCAGACGCCGGGAGGCCACACATTTGTGTGTGGCCAGCGTGAAGAGGTTAATTACTTGCACTCCAGAGGATTTACCCTCCTTCCTGGCCAGGTCATTTTTTGCAATACGGTGCTGTTACTTTAACTGACAATTGCGTGGTCATCCAACACTGCACCCAAATTAAATTTACGTCCTTTTTTCCCCCCACAAATAGAGCTTCCTTTTGGTGGTATTTGATCACCTGTGCGGTTCTTATTTTTTGCACTATAAACAAAAACTGAATTTTAAAAAATATATATTTTTGACTTTTTGCTATTAAACCTGTCCAGTAAAAAAATTTAAAAAATCAAATTTAGGCCAAAATGTATACTGCTACATATCTTTGCTAAAAAAAAAAAAAAAAAAATCCCAATACGTGTAAATTAACCCCTTCATGCCGGCCACACGCAAATGTGCAGCCTCCCGGCGTCTGGGCCTAGACACCGAGCGGTCGCACATTTGCGGTCATGTAGCAAAAAACGTGCTGAGAGCGTTCGCCCTGCACGCTCCCAGCACACGTGAGGTACTCACGGAAAGGTCCTGGTCCGCTCTTTCGATCGGGACCTTTCCCGATCATGTGACATGACGCGACGTCACGGCGGCCACATGACACTAAGCCACGCACAGTCCTGCCCACCTGCCGCGCAGGAACTCCTCTTCATGCCGGGACGATCCGGCGCGAAGGGGTTAATTGGTGTGACGGAGGGTAGGCAGGACAGAACACACAAAGTAGATAGCAAACGTACAAAGCTTTATTGAGACAAACATGACAGTCCTCAATAGAGGGATTTGCAGGGAGGGTGAATTCGCCAGTAAAGGGTAGCAAGGAGGGGCCAACACACTTCTAGTCCAACACCGAGAGCCAAGGAAGAGTCTCTGTAGCAAGTATAATCCAACAGGGGGGGTGGGGGGTCAGTACAGGAACAGTTCAGGTAAAACAGGGAGAGAGCATATACTCAGATCCGACAGGGTGCCTGGTCTCCCAGTGATAGAAAGTGGAACACAGGTACCTGTTGGAATCCGGATCATGTGGGTGGTCTCCCCTTTTGGACTGAGTCCTCAGGCAGCTGGCAGGCAATCTCTCTCCCCTGGACTGGGGGTCTCGGGCAGCTGGCAGGCAATCTCGCAATCTCTCCCCTGCAAGCTAGCAGGCAATCCCTCCCCTGGACTGGGGGACTCAGCAGCTAGCAGGCAATCTCCAGTCTCTGCGCTGGCATCCTGGGCAGATAGCAGGCAATCTCCCCCTGCGCTGGGGTCTTGGGAAGGCTTGGGTGCGGTTCCCCGTTTGGCTGGGGGGTCTGCAGAATCTGGCCACGAAGGTCCCACCGCAGCTGGCTGATGCGGGACGCTCCCTGGTCGTCTAAGTAACCGGGGCGGGCTGAGCTGGCGTGCCTCGTTGCCCGGCAACGAGGCACGCCCCCTGGACAGGGGCCGCGCTTCTCGTTAGCGCGGCCTTTGTCCAGGGACATCCGCAAGCACGGGAACTTCCCGTGCCCGCGCTTCGGATGACAGGGCAGAGGTGGTGTCAGCGAGACGCCGTAGCCCAGAACATCCCTTGCGGGAGGTTCACACCCCTCCGTGAAGAGGTGTGAACCTCGCCACCTTCTCGGCCGGAGAGGGAGAAGATAGTGGCAGGGGTCGTGAAAGCCCCACCTCTCATCCCATTGCGGCAGGATGAGAGGTGGAAGGGGGTCACTGGACCACAGGGATGAATCAGGCTGGAGACAGGGGACACTGGACCCCCCAGGGACAGCAGAGGGACTGGTGCAGAGTATTAGGGCAATTGGAGGACATGCAGCAAGCTGACTGGGAGGGGGGAAGCCACAGTAATTGGATTTGGCCATTTGGCAGAGTGACACAGAGGGCATACAGGGGATTAAATTGAATCAATAATTGGCAGGGGCCCCATACCGCGACACTTGGTTTATGTGAAAGTTATAGTGTTTACAAATGGCTCTATATATACTGGAATTTTTTTTTTCACTAGTAATGGCGGCGATCAGCGACTTGTAGCAGGACTGCAGCAGGCATTCTGACACTGGGGGGAGCTGACTTGGTGTCACTGACATTTCCAATGACACCAATACAGTGATCAGTGCTAATAAAAATCACTGACACTACTAATGGCACTGGGCAGGAAGGGGTTAACATATGGGGTGATCAAAGGGTTAACTGTGCTGTTTTACTGTGTGTGTGCGCTTTACACTGGAAGCACACTGCTTTGTATGGCTCTGCTGTGCAGAGTACAAAAAACGCCCCACTGCCCCAGTCTATAACTGGCCTTCACAGCAAGGAACACATGGAAGGGTGACACGTGTCAAACAACACAAGAGAAAAATTCCCAGTTCAACTTGCCAACCAGCCTGCAAACAAACCGAACTATCTTGTCTAGCAGTATGCGTTAAAAACGGGGCTTTAGTTAGCACACATTTGCAGATACATGCGTAAGCTACAGATCCTCGTTACGTCACCCCAGTATTCTGTAGTTCCAAACTCTTCAAATTTTAAGAGCCCCCATAGTAGTGGCAGGTGAACCTGAGGGAACCCACCCCTCCTTAAAGGTACAGGAGCACGGTGGACACAGCATGTAGCACAATGGCAGCTAAGGTGTCCAACGCGCCCCCTCACCAACAATTTAACAGTACAAAAAATGGTCACTGCCCCAGTCTATAACTGGCCTTCACAGCAAGAAGCACATGGACGGGCGACACATGTCAAACAACAAAACATAAAAATTCCCAGAGCTATACAAAGCAATGTGCAGGAGCTGACAAGGGAGAGATCTTTGTTGTTTATACATAGGTCTCTCCCCCCATTGCTGATACTCTCTAATCGGCAGGGAATCACCGGGTGGGACCTGGTGATTGACAGGCAAAGTCGTGAATGGTGGCCTGTGTGCCCCCACCCGGAACTGCAAAATCACGTGTATATATACATGATTTTGCACACCCGTGCCACCCTGTAGCAGTATTTCTGCTATAGGGCGGAGCGGAAGTGGTTAATGAATTTTAATGCACAAAAACACAATGCAAAACCCATCTGTTTGGTAAAATGTATAAGATGTTATATCGAGTAAATGGATACCAAACATGGCACTCTTTAAAA